GCTTTTCAATATTATATTTGAATTTTTATTACAATCGTAAATTCTATGATTTAAGTCATCTGGTAACAAGAACAACTTTATTTTCTATATTTTTAAGTTTTTTGATACTTTGTAAAAGATTAGGTAAGAGAAAAATGCGCAGAAAAAAATCATTAATTTCAGAAAACTGATCCGTCGCTCGTTTTTACCCGACTGCACGAAGGAGGATTGATAACCATGGGTGATCAAAAGACGCCAAATTGTCGCATGGAGTCCACTCCAAGGGTGATCAAAGCCAGCTAATTGAAGTAGAACGGACCGACAACACAACCTTATTCCAATGAGGGTTTTCGCGAATGAAAAATCCGCCAGATGGCAATACGTAGACGCGAGGTCCAAATGCTGCATGATTGGTTATTTTTGACATGACATTGACAGATATGTCAAAATCCACCAATCACGCAGCAGTCAGACCCCACATCCACGTCCCGCCATCTAGCGGATCTTTCATTCGCGAAAACCCTCATTGGAACAAAGACGTGTTGCGAACTTAGGCCCAGAACAGACGGTGAAACGCAACTGCAACTTCTGATGATTCTGATGACTGAAACTGAAACTGAAAGTTTCAAACTGGTCGCGTCATGTGTGGTCTCTCAACGGACGCTACGGCAGAAACTTAGATGCAACTCAAAAGTAACTAGCAGTTGCAGTTTCGTTGCAGTTGCGTTTCACCGTCTGTTCTGGGCCTTATTGGCTACTTTGGGTGTCACAAACTATTTGATGCTGACTGTACCTACTACCTTATGCATACGGTAGTATTTTTTTTAATATCTTGCCTCTATTATTGAACGCAGTCCCTAAAATATCCATACTAATAAAAAGGTAAAGTTTGTATAATTGTTAAATTGTAAGGGGTAATCTCGGGATCTACTGAACCGATTTTAAAAATTCTTTCACCAAAGAAAGCCACATTATTTCTGAGTGTCATAGGTTATATAAAAAACCGAAAAGTTTCACGCGGGCGAAGCCGCGGGCGGAAAGCTAGTGTTAAATAAAAATTGCATTATTATCTTGATTTATTCGATTCTCTCAAGTTATTTAAAAATGCTTAACAGTAGCTAGTTTCAGAAATAAAACACCAGCGTACAAAATATAAATACATATATTTGATAAGGACACTATTTACATATTTATACGCCCAATCTCATTTAGCATCTTCGCTCTTCTCTTGATAGGTGATGACGCCTTTTTCTATCAAATCCGGAATCTCAACTGCTAGCCAGGGCCCCAACTGTAAAGAATATCATTAAATCTAAATATAACTCAAAGGTGACTGACTGACTGACATAGTGATCTATCAACGCACAGCCCAAACCACTGGACGGATCGGGCTGAAATTTGGCATGCAGGTAGATGTTATGACATAGGCATCCCCTAAGAAAGGATTTTACGAAACTCCACTCCTAAGGGGGTAAAACGGGATCTGCGCGTACGAAGTCGCGGGCGGCCGCTAGTGATTAATAAACTTCTCAGCACCAGCCCATAATGTTGTCCCGAAGTGGTGGTAGGGCAAGCTATATTTGGGACGTGTATAAGTGCCGAACTGGCTATCTCACCTCGTAACTCTCGGAACACAAGAATGCTGTTAACATTGTTGTTATGGCGACAGACTTAGAACAAGCCCTACCACCAACCAAACCGAACAGAAAAATCTGCCCCCACTGGGAATCGAACCCAGGACCTCTGCGTGTGAAGCAGGTGGTCTTACTACTAGACCAGAGGCGGTTAACTTTGAACAATTTTATTTCACACAGCGACATCTAGCAACTAATAAATATATTTAAGCCACGATAGCCGAATGGTGAAGGGGTCGGACTGGCCGACTCGTGATCCGGGGAACGCGGGTTCGGTCCCCGCCGCCGCTCGACTATTGTGGTGAGCTCACTCGTGACACAAGCATATTTAGCTTAGTACGAGGGGCTAACGGGAGTATTAGTAATTTGTGTAATAACAAATTACTAATAATCTTTTTAAAAAAAAAAAAAAAAAAAAAAAAAAAAAAAAAAAAAATATGCTTGTGTTATGGGTGCTAGCTTAACGGATATCCTTTTTTTCATCATTTCAATTTCTGCCCGGCCCGGAATCGAACCCAGGACCTCTTGCGTGGTAAGCACTACACCATTCAGGTGGTCAAATCGTCAAGAATAAGAAGGAATAACAATCCACACAATATTTTACTGATAATAACACCTAGGGACTGGAATTCGCTGCCTGCTGATAATCTTGGAGGCCTTTGTCCAGCAGTTAAAAAAAAACTCATTTATTTATGCAAGTAGGCTTTTAAGAAGCACTTTTACACGTCCCAGTATTAACCCTACCACTGCTTCGGGACAATAAATGGCCCAGTGCTGAGAAGAAGCAGCGCAAGAAACTCAGTCACTATTTAATGAGGGTTTTCGCGAATGAAAAATCCGCCAGATGGCAATACGTAGACGCGAGGTCCAAATGCTGCATGATTGGCTATTTTGACATGACATTGACAGATGTCCAAATCCACCAATCACGCAGCAGTCAGACCCCACATCCACGTCCCGCCATCTAGCGGATCTTTCATTCCCGAAAACCCTCATTGTCAGCCTCTTTTTCAAGGGTTTCAGTGGACGTCTATTGCACGGTAATAATATCATACAGTATTGTAACTTCATATAAACAGACGAAACGAGAACTTTCTTTCGAAATTCAAATCTCGGTATGCGCTCGGTATGCAAAAGTCGGGGGTGTCGCGAATGTGCCGAATGGACGTCGGTGGCCAAGTGTTAAAAATGACAAAAGTAATTGAATTTGACTGACCGTCATTTACGGTCAAATTGGTCAAAAACTACTCAAATTTACATTTTCAGTCAGTTTGATTTGAAATGAAAATTATATTGTATCAAACCAGCTTTTGCCCACGAGTTCGCCCGCCCGAAATTAAAGTAACAGATCATTATGATTATTAAAGTTTCGAAATTACTTAAGTAGCTTTTACTAAATTAAATCTACTAATCACAAAACGACTCACATTTTTAACCTATTCCATTCATAAAGTATTTTGTTTGTCTAACTAAATAAAAAAATACAATCACAAAACTAGATAGAAATTCTAAGTAGGCAGATGTAATTAAACTGGGTACTGTAGGTGGGCAGCCCTACCTTACAGTATGACAACATGCGTCATACTGTGACGTACCGCGCGACTGTTGACATTTATTTCAAAAATATGGCCGAGTTGGAATACTGTATAGATAGTATTACCGTGTCTATTGGCTGAAACGATAAACATAGAAGATTATTTAACAATTCTTACCCCAAGCGCCATAGCATGTGCGATCCCAAACTTAGGCACGTTCCGAGCCCATAACGGTTTGAAGTGGTCCGTGAGACAGATCTTGCCTCCACGGTACATCTTAGCTGTCTTCCCGTCTAGACCTGGTAGGGCCAGCTCAGGAGCTGTAGTTGGGTACGTTATTGGAATCTGGAAGAATGGAAGAATAGGTAATAATATACAGTAGAATCCGATTATAATGAAGCTGAAGGGACCGATGATATTACGTCGTACTATCTGGACGACGTACTAAAGAAGTAATTTTTTACATTATTTCTCAACAAATCAACCAACCAGATCAAAAATATGTCGGTATATGGTCGGTCGTTATAAGCGAAGTCGTACTAAATATTCTACTGTAATTTTATAACAATAAAGTGATATTACATTAACATGTTCCAGTATTACTTTAAAATTACTATTCGTCTCAGCCTAATGACGTCCACTGCTGGACAAAGGCCTCCCCCAAGGTTTTCCAAAATGAACGGTTCCACAAAAATTACTATTACTTTGGTATAAAATATGTGCATATAAGCAGCTCATAAAACTTAGAAGTTAGTGCAGAATCCAAAATTGATTATTTACCACTATTCCAGCTAGCTGTTATAGCCTTTATGATTGAGAATTCTAGGAAAAGATTTCAGCCTGATCATTATTTTTATTAGTTTAGTACATTTATTTATAACTCTTACTTACACAGACACTTTTGTTTTCTCCCTATTTAAGTATTTATGTCATTTACGTATACTTACGTCAAATTCAAGGTCGAACTCGTACTTTAACAGGTTATGAACGAACCAGCATTTTCCGAACCACCGTGTGCCTGTCTTGTCGGACTCAAGACGGAACCAATCATTATCCGCTGCCTTGTTGTTTTGTACATACTGTAGAGAAAAGTTTATTATTTGTTAATATTCAACCTATAGGAACTATTGTAACTAGCTTCTTAAAAACTATGCTGCCTTTAAAGGAAGTCTCAACTTATAGAAAACTATAGTTTTCATGCACTTAAAGATACAGGCAACTAGTTTAAAACAAAAAGGTATGTTACACTTGCTTGCTCAACTGATTTTATGTAAAAAAATACTTTAAAACTGGTTTTAGATGAAGAAATACTCGTGAAAACAGTGTTTTTTTCTGAAGAGAATACCAGTTTATATTAGTTAAAATGTCGGTTTTTTCGACTTTATCAGCAAGTGTATTAAAAAAGCAACGTTTTAAACTTTAGAAAGTACATTTTTATAGCATAATTTAGTGGTTTTTACCTTAATTAGAGCCTGATACTCTTCCTTCAACCTGGTTGTCCACAACTCCTTATCTCTAGGCCCTGCTTTAGTTTGAAGCAAGGGAATGCTACTCAATGTCTTCCTTGTACTTTCGTCAACCATCTTGTGTATAATTTAACACTTAAACCATACTTTTTTCTGATTATTTAAGCAAAAATCTGTGTTGTGTAAAAGGAATTTCACGTTCACGAAATGTCAAAGTGACGTAGTGAATTTAGACGTGTCAGATACAGATTAAAAAGTACGGTCGGATACACGTAAGAAATAACGAATAACGTTATTTAGTAATACATGATCGGCCTCACATCTCGACACTCGTTGAGTAACTGAAATAATTAGGGCAATTTTAAGGAAAATAAAAAATCAAGAAAGCACGACTGATTTAATTTACAATAAGAAATTGATTTAACTTAGACTTTACAAGACTCTTGATATTTTTATACAAAGTACTTAGAGGAAAGCGAAGTAACTGATGAAGCATGTAAGTTAAAAACACTGGAACGAGCATTGTGATGGTTTGATGCAGAAAATACATTCTGAAATGAAAAGAATTCTCGTTTAGAATTACAGTCATACTGGGTAACTTCGTCGATCAGTATAAAATACGAACTAAGAAGGACTTAGTGCCTTTTTCCTGTAATGCGGATTTAGGCAAGCGTGTGGATCTGCATTTATTTATTTCATACAATGATATGTTTTTCCTACATACACGCGGCACGTGGCTGCGGGCACACAATGCGAAATCTTTGTCTTGCGTGCAAACTATAGCGTGATTATTTATACGCTTATGTGCTGAAATTCGCATCACAGGGAAAATGCACTTACACTTTGTGGAATACCGGTTAAACTTAGCAAGTGACTTGTAATACAAACCTTTGAAGACGCTTTCTTGACTGTGGCAAATTCTCTTCTTTCTCTTTGAGAAGAAATCTCCGTATTCCTTTAACTTGGTTCGCGTAATACTCCTTCCAACTGTAATTATACAAAACATCATAATATTTATTATAACCAAAGAAGTTCAAAGAACTTAATAAAATAACAACCAGTTTGCCAAGTTATCTTACTATTGAATAAAAAGGGAAATCTTTACAATTTTCAATTTCTCAAACAAACGACAGCACATCACAATAAAGATCACCACGCCGGCGCGATCTGCACGCGTTGGTGTGGTTGAACCAAAAGTATAATTATTTTATGTTGCAAAATCGTCCCTACTATCTAAAATGCATCATTTTTTAGCAATTTAGTACTCTGTTTCAGCAAATGGCAAGAAATTGTCAAAGAAAAACTCACTCTACTGCATTAGGGTCAAGGTTGAAAACAGCAGCGTCGTTGTGATGCAGTCGCAAGCGCAGACTGGTCATGTTGGCAGTCCTGAACACCCAGTCTCTAGTCGTGAAGAAGTTTACAATCACGATCATCTGGCAGAGACGCCTGTCTAGATCTATTAAGTTCACTCTGAAACGTAAAATTCATAAAATTAATTTTATTTTTGCAAGTAGGGTTTTAACAAGCACTTTTACGTCACGTCCCCTTAGCTACTTCTCGCTACGACACTACCTACCACACTACTACGCTACCACAGCTTCAGGACAATAAATGGGCAGTGCAGCGCAAGAAATTCCGTCACTATTGTCAGCTTAATTTTATTTATGATCGGTAAGTAGGGGAACCTGTTGTACTTAGGCCAGTTTTTCGAATTTTGATTTTTTGAAAAATAATGGTGATAGTTAAACTTGTCTAGTGCAGTTATATTTAAAGATCATTTAATTAACTACATAATTCATTCATAAAATTGTGTATAATTGAAAAAATTTGGGCATACTAGCTGCTAGAAAAAAAAAGGGAAAACTGTCCTAGGTACAACAAACCAGGTGTACCTTGGACCGTGTACGTTGTACCTATTTAAATTTAAATAAATGCTTATATTCGCTTCAATTTGTTAATTTTCTGTTAAAATATTATTTGAAATACCAATTATTACAGTTATTAGCAACAATATCTAAGTAAAAGTATTTTTTTAAAAAGATCCTCATCCATATTTTTTGTACTAATTATTTTTCACAATTTTTTGGCAACAAATCACTTAAGTTTAAGCCGGCTCTCCAGTCCATGTTCAGCCTTACACAATCAACTAAAATATGACAATATTCAACATTTTTTCTAGAAAATTTTGTTGAATGTTGATATGTTATGTCGTGTAGGACAAAATACGCGCTGGAGTGGCTTTAACTTGCAATCTAGTTTTTTTTATTTCTTATCATTTAACATAAATTCTAGCAAAATATCCATTAAAACCGCTTTATCAACAAAAATAATCTTAAAAAAGTCATATGAAGATACATTAAACGTAAATTTAAAAAACATTAGAAATTAAAAAAATACATATCAAAAACAGACTTTAAATTGCTATTTTGAGGTCTTCGGGGCATTGTATCTATAACAGTATGATATGTTTTTTTTATTACAATAAAATTCTCATTAAAACGTATGAAAATCAGTGACCAAGGTACATCGCTAGTTGGGTGGTCAAGGTACAACATTGCGACTACTTCACTTAATAAGCACACTATACCCACTTCCATTTGAGCTTAGGATCTGAAACTCATATCGTCCAGTAGCTAGATATATAAAGATTATGTTCTAACTATAACCGTTTTGTCAAACATGCAACATTTTTCATAAATTGACATGAAGTAAAAATTTTTAAGCAGATTTTTTTCAAAAAGTCTCATTTTTTATTATTTGTTAGCATTTTCTGGGTATTTTATGTATTTTTTCAGTATCGCCTGTTATTTAGCATTATTACTGTTTTTATTTTATCAGGATATACCGCTTAGTTTAAAAGTTATTACGTTTTCTTTACAATAAGTAATTGGAAGAAAAAAAATTCTATAAAAAATTAAAAAAAAATCTCAAAAAAATTTTGACCTCTTTTTTGTCGATAAAAATAGGTCTAGTTTTATCTATTTTCATATGTACACTTTAACGTGACTCACACTGTATAAAGATTATGTTCTAACTATAACCGTTTTGTCAAACATGCAACATTTTTCATAAATTGACATGAAGTAAACCTCCAAAAACTCACTGCGTCAGTGTAAAATATTAAATTACCATTTTTTCTTGTACTTGCACGGCGTCGGCGAATATTAGCTAACTACACGTTAATGTTGACAAATAACGTATGTAATACCCTAGACAACTTTTCATAAAACCGCATAATTTAAAAAATATATACAATTGTTTTAGGTACAACTCTGTCCAAGGTTCAACAGGTTCCCCTACGTTAATCATCGTCGTCATCATCATAGTCTCCACTGCAGGAGTACAACCCTCTCTTAATAATAAATGTTTCTTTCTTTCTTTCTTTCTCGAATTCACCAGAGGGAAACGGACGATTTGGCCTATAATCCCCACACTGATCTACTTACAGCTTTTCCCCGTGGCATCTTCCACTTTTTCGGTCTGGCATAGTTGTGTCACAAAAAGAAATGCGCTCGTTCCTTTCACAATACTAAACTGATGTTTTTCTTTAAGCTTAAAACTGTTGAATCACATTTTGTGAAAGATTTTTATGAGCTAGATAACTGTGCCATCTCATTGTAAGGTACTTGATACAAATAAGGCCTACCTAACTTTAAATGCTTATATTTCAATAAATATTAACGCCAGTCAACAAAAACAAGGTTAATTAACTTCTTCCATCCTTTAATTTTAGCAATATTACAAAAAATAACACAATTTTTAACTAAATCTATTCAAAATAAGCAAATTACGAAACCACTGATTTTGGCTTTATTAAATCACCTACACGGAATAAGGCCTATATGATTCAAATGCCTGTAGACCTTAAAATTGAGGTTGTATTAAACAAAATGCGGTCTTATAACATTAAACACGTCGATTTGTTTGCGTTATCAAAATTTTACATACCAAGTAAACAGAAATATACTGTATATCTCTAGATAAACTTAAATTCCACTTATTAAGAATAATACATAAATTATAGATAAAATTAAATATTCATAGTAACAAAGTAATGATTCCTTACTTAAATTATCAAAAAAAATATCAAAAACAAACAATATTATTTTTTTGTATAGGGCTTATTAAAACACCGTGTTCGAATAAGGCCTACACATAAAACCTTTTAAATAAATCAGTTTAGGAACATCATTTAGTCTTGATTTTTTGTAAACAAAATGAGATCTCAATTTTTGTTAGAACCAGGGCATAAAAAGGCTTCTGAATCATCTTTACGAACTCCTACACAATCTTTATGATACCACCAAAAGCAGTCCTTTATGGTAGCATATCTGCTACATTGTCTTCGAGACAGGCATGATAATATCAGCTTTAATCCTTTAGAATTATACATACGGCTTTTTTTTCTTATTTTTTATTGGTTTTGTATTTTGTTTCTTTTTTTTACAGGTTTAGTAATTTTTTTTTACTCTGTTTTCTTTTTATTTTCTGTGCTGTTAGTAACATTCTTATTAAATAAATATTTAGTTACTCTTTGACTCATTTAGTTTAATGAATTTGTCCGTAATCAGGTGTTGACATAAGTATCCAATATGGCCTACCATGCTGAAATAAGGCCTAGGCCTTATAAGATATTTCGCTCTTGTTGTCTTTAAAAATTTACAAATAATGCATCTATAGCCAGTAGTACAAATTAAGGTAATTATTAGCTAATAAGAAATATTTAGAAACGATTACTAAGAAAAGCTTAATCTAAAACAGCGTTATTTTACCGAAAATTTAAGATGAAATCGCCAGATTTTTATAAGAGAGCACGAAATCACCCACCACCTTAGAAGAACGCGTGCCAATTGGTGCTGGGATCGTGGATCGGGACGCTCTTGCACTCTACCGGGTTGTAGGGCATATGAGTACGTGTCCTTGAAGTATTATCCCGGTTGGATTTGTTTATCTGTGTTTTCTGATGTATAGGCCTTATTAGAACGTAGGCCTTATTTGTATCAAGTACCTTATTACCTGCTTTTTTTCTTCAATATCTGCATTGTATATTGCGCCAAGTGCAATGGAATACTCCGGACTACGAAGTTCAGGACTCTGTAAATATACCTGGAACGATAAAAATATTACACAAATCATCATCATCATCATCGTCATGTAGTCTTTCCTGCAGGAACACAACCGTCTCTAATTTGACCTAGGTACACCCTGGCTAGATGGGTCGGAGAAGCCTGGTGAAGGTCGTGGGAATCACCTTGATGCGGGCAGCGTACGACCGGTCGTTGGGGAAATCCATGAAGCCTTTTTCTAGCAGTGGACGTCATTTGGCTGAATCCTCGTTTACTAGTTAAGTGTTAGCATAGGTACTTTAAATATTTAGTGTTTCTTACCAGTTCTTCACAAACATACAAGTGGGGTACCAGAGGCCATCGGTCAGCGGGTTTTGTCGGCATTCGTCTACCGAAACGGATCGCATCTGCTCCCATGTTGTAGGGTTTGCTGAGATGCTGCAGTTATATACGCGGACTGTTGGAAGGCTGCAAAAGTACCACTGTTTTAGCTCTATTCCCACTTTGATCACCTGAATTAGATCACCCAGATGATAATAGCCGACACATGGTGTTCTTTGATCACCCATTGATAGAAGTTGACTTTGATTACCTAGGTGATCAAAGGACACAAAGAGTCGCTTAAGACTAATCTGATCTGTCTGTGATCCGTCTGCTCGTTTGCCTCCTATCACATAAAAAAAAAAAGAAAAAAAAAAGACCACCTGGGTGAACTGATCCAGATAATCATGGTGGAATAGACGATTTTTTAGGATTCAAAAATGTTTGCTCATGTCGAGTGGTAGTTTTTGTAGCGGACTAAATCATGCTCAAATTAATCCAATACAAATTGATGAATGACAAGTTTTAGGGACGATTTTTGGGGCACCATTTTTTGTGCTTTATACAATTTAAAAAAGTTATTGATAAAGGAGGCCATTCTAATAGCATGTAAGCGCTAAAGAGCAATGCAGGATCCTGCAAAACTGAACTGCCGTGGGAAAAGGCCCTAAGTCAGTTCCATACAAAACGAAGTCTTACTTGTCGACGGCTGTCTCCCAGGCCACAGCGATAAGCGAATCGATGGCGATATCCACTGGTAGCACGTCGACTCTAGACTTGCCTATGCAGTAATAGACTGGGAGTAGACCTAAAATAACGAAATTCCGACCATTATGTCCATAAGAATTGAAGAGGCAATTTTCAACTTATTATTTCTGAAAAAACAGAATAGTAGTTGTTTCTTTTTGATATAATAAATAAAACATAGGTACCTACTACGGTTGTATGGTAACCCACCTTTGCTTACCGCCGCCACAGTGGCTATGGGACCGTTGAAGGTGTCTATCCAGCCTGCAAAGGGGTTCCGTAGCGAGGACAGCACTAAAAACGAAGAAAGGAACATTATTTTTAAACATCTCTCTGGAGTTTTCATCCACAATACCTTAGTGCTTAAATACAAAAATCTACAGTCAGAGGACTTAGTAAAATATAAAAATAAAATCAAATATCCTTGGACATTTCACACTGCGCTTCTAGTCCCAAACTAAGCAAAGCTTGTACTATGGGTAGGTACTAGACAACGGATATAAACATACTTGAATACTTTTTTTTGTAAATACATACATAATATTATACATAGAAAACACCCAGTCCAATACAAACCAATAATAATAATGTTCATGCAAACAAATGTTTGTACTGTGCGGGAATCGATCCCGCAACGTCCGGAATAGTAGTAGCGCATTTCAAAGCACTACACCAAACGGCCGACACTTTGGTCAATCCATCATACATTTTTAATGACATTTTTTACGCGCTCACTAGTGAGCAGGGATGTTATGGCTATCCGTAACCGTAACCGAAACCGGTATAATATTATTCCTATATCTGCAACCGTATACCTAACCGAAACTACATAATTATCCATAACATCCCTACTAGTGAGGACGTTGATGTAAACTCACACTCTGTCCACTGTGGCTGAAATGATGACAATGTCTAAATTCAACCTGCATCATTACCTATTGAGGGTCTGAATATGGCAATCGGATAGGTTTTGATCCCATGTTGTTGAACAGCAGTTTCCCCCAACATTTTTGTGTATGTGTACGTGTTCGGTTTCGGGGATATAATACTGAAAAGCAATAAACAAATTAAACAATTAACTATACACAGGCTCAGATTGATTAGATATGTTTTATTTCTTTTTTATGTCGTTCGTCGTCGTTTCAGGTTTTCCACAATGCACGGTCCTGCGCTGCCCGCATCCAGGCTCTTCCTGCGACCTTTACCAGATCGTCGGTCCACCTAGTGGGTATGTATCAATAGCAGTATATTATTATATCAGTTCTGCTACTCTTCAAAATACCTACGAAAAATTGCTGATACGTAACCACATTCTTTGTATTTTATGAGAGGTGCTGTATAGGGGATCTAATCGGAATTTCTTTCTAGATTTAATTAATAGTATATTATCTATATTATATTATCTACTGTATTACTCTAATAAAAATATAATCAAAAATTGGCCAAGTGCGTGTGGTGTCACGCGCAGTGTTGGGTTCCGTGTTGTCCGTCATTAACCCAATATATTTCAGAAGCAAGCAATTACATCTAGTCACATTCTATATTTTCTTCTAAGGATTTTTTATTAGGTATGAAATTTTATAATAGACTAGCTTTCCGCCTGCGGCTTCGCCCGCGTGGACTCCGAAAAACCCTAATATTTTACGGAACCCTATTTTTCTCCAAAATAAAATGTAGCCTGTGTTACTCGTGGATAATGTAGCTTTCGAATGGTGAAAGAATTTTTAAAAACGGTTCAGTAGTTTTTGAGCCTATTCATTCAACCAAACAAACAAAGTTTTCCTCTTTATAATAATTAGTGTAGATGAGTTAAATGACTATTACTCTTAAACTGACTGATCGATCTTAACCGTTATAGTTTTCCTTGAAAGTTCATGAAAAGCACTATTATCATGAATTTTCCCAGATTTTTCAAGCTAACAGTTTAGTTTAACAGGGACGGACGCCCTACTCGAACAAAAATTGGCACTTTAAACTTTAATATTTTGCAAACGGATCCCTAAATCGAAAAATCGTTTTAAAAACTCCTAAGCCATTTTAAAATACCTATCCAACGATACCCCACATCTATCATGTGGGGTAGAAGACGAAAAAAAATTCATCCCCACTTATAACGAAGGGGAGCCATCCAAAAAAAAAAATTTATTTTTCAATATTTTATTCTACCTCTTTGTCGGCGTGACTAATATACATACCTCCACAAAATTACAGCTCTCTAGTCTCAACAGTTACAACACAAGCAAAACCTTGGACAGACAGACAGACAAACGGACATAACGAAACTTTAAGGTTCCTTTGGGTCTAGACAAAGTGCAAATTATAATCGCAAACCAGTCAAAAAGTGATCGAAAAGCCCCTTTTTTGTATGGAGTTTTGACGGATTCGATTTTCGATTCGATCAAAAAGTGCGTTTTGTCTAGGGGGGCTTGTCAGGATTACGGAACACTAAAAAGCGGCCTTGATGTTTGCAAAATGTATTATCATGGATTCATTATAGCTCTATATTTATTATCCATGGTTTAATCTAATAATTTTAAAGTGATAAGATTATGAAAGCGTTACTGCTGTTATTACCAGAAAACGAAATATCTTTTGCCCTAAAAAATAAGTCATATTCCATTATGCATAATGGGCAATAATAACACATTTTTATCAGTCTTAACTCTTAAGATAGTTTGTTGTACCTGAGCGAAGCGAAGTTCTTTATCAAAATCAAAAAATCAAAATCAAAAATATTTATTCAGTTTAGACCACAAGTGGCACTTATTATTTTTATATTATTATTTTAAAGATAATATTTTACTGCATTAAATAGATTAATGTTATTTTTTATTATTACTACAAAAAGTAGCCTAAGTCCTGCTCCAAGGCCTAATTATCTCCTTGCGCCCGTATTCACAAACATTACTATGAGGTCTCACAGTGCGCGTGGACGCACGTCATGGTGACACACGAACCAATCACAGAGGTCTATTCAATGCTGTGCGTTCGAGTTGCTGCTTCTCACAAGCAAGCATTGTTTGTGTATACAGGCGTCAGTGTTTTAGACGTGACAGTAAAAACCCAATACACTGCACTGTCCCACTCGTGACATTGACAGGGGGCGCCACCGTCAATACCGGATCGCTGGTTCCGATTTTTGTCATGTTGGAAACTATTGGAACGATGGTGGTGCCCCCTGTCAATGAGTTTGGTGGGAAAGTTCAGTGTAGGTCATCTATTGTATACCTACTTATTATTATTCTGTGACGTGACAAGGTACCAAACTGTCTATAGTAAAATATTTGTTTGTAGTAACTCTACGCTCGTTCGGCTCAGACACACGCCCGTTCCCTCTCTCACGTCATTATCTCTCAATACTTTTTTCTCTCTCTCTTCCTCTTTACCTCTCTTTCTCTCATCTTCCCCTACCTGTTCACGTATTTGCTTGGGGCGTCCTCAGATACAGCCAAAGCTTCAGCTAACATTTCATCCAGAGGTCGAGGCAAAGGGTACACTCTCTCCTCAACTACCTTTTGCTCTGCGTTGCTGTAAGCAGTCGATACGTGAACGAGTACCTGAATAAGGGCATTGAAGAGTGAATTAATATAAAACAAAATGTAGGTCGCTCAACTAGAGTTGAGGGCCGTTGAGGCACAACAAGCAAAGATTTATCTGTATACGCTGTGTGCACTGACGTCTCGCGTAGTTGGACTAACATTACTAACAATCTCGCTTGCAGACATTTAACAGGTACGAGTTAGTTAATGTAATTATTCAAATACTAGCTTTCCGCCCGCGGATTCACCCGCGTGGAATTTTGTCTGTGACAGAAAAACTTTATCGCGCGCGGTGTTTCAAAAACAGGGATAAAACTACCCTATGACCTTTTCCGCGACTCAAACTACTATGCCAAATTTCATCAAAATCGGTTTGCAGTGGTTTAGGCGTGAAAGCGACACAGAGAGACAGGCAGACAGAGTTACTTTCGCATTTATATTAGTATAGATTACATATGTGTGAGTAAAGCGCCTCAACTTTCGTTGATAATAAATAATTATTACCTAAGGCTGGGTTGCACCATCTTACTTTAACTTTGACAAACGTCAAAAATCTATCAAATTCCATACAAAAAGCACCGGTTATCGTCATAGTTACCGTTTAAGAGAGGTGGTGCAACCCACCCTAAGGGTTTTTTCAGAGACATTCCGTTTTTTGCAGGATACCGTTTAGTAGACAGTCATGTTTTAATATTAACGTTCACACAACAGTAGATTGCCGTGGGAGCGAGCCCTTTAGGCTTCTTCTTCTTGTCGTGTCCTCAACAAACCTATACAGTGTCAGCCCAAAATTCTGCTACAAGAGTTGTTTGTAGCAGTTGTTTGGGCACGCATGGCCCTAAGGCTGGAAATCCTTGACTAACCTTCATGCTGGGTAACTTGTCGCAGATTTCCATCATGTACATGACAGATAGGACATTCTGTTGGGCAGCCCGATTCAACTTCTCGTCAAACCTCACGGTTGCTGCACAGTTGAACACCACCGAAACCTGAAAGGAATGATATTTTTAAATCACTATCAATTTATATTATGTAACTGATTAGCAAGCTGAAGTGACAATGAGCAGGGCAAGTAGTACGCAGAACTGACGGCTGATGGGGTAGCAAGGTTCTGAAGTGGAGGCCGCGTACTAGAAAACGCAGAATCGGACGTCCACCCACAAGGTGGACCGACGATTACTTTATAGGTAGCGGTAGGCGCTGGATGCAGGCCACTACCAACCAGGTGATGTGGAAATCATTGGGGAATGTGTTCAGTAATGGACATCCTGGGGCTGAAATGATTAATGATGATGATGAATGTAACTGAAGGCCATTACTGTAGTTACATGCTGAGTTACAGAGTTAGAAATTACTGGAAATTACCTCTTCCAACGACGATAACGACTCATCATTGAGTCCCAGAGAAGGTTTGGTGATATCACCATCTAAAACATGGACTTTGTCCAATTGAGCTGGATTGTTTTTGCGAAGAACATCGAATACCTGTAACAATGTCATCGTAGATTTGAACGTAGCTGGTATCGTAGCGTAGATACTAACGAATCATCATCACTGTATATTTGCCTTAGTCGATACTTTTACGATATCCACGGGAAGAGTGCGGTGGAAGCATACGGCTAATGGCTATAGGCTTGTCAAATAGAACGCGTACATAATTAATTACATAATTACTGTAATCAATTTTATTCAATTTAGACCACAAGTGGCACTTATGAACGTCAAAATATGGTAAATAAAAATACATTTTTTTACTATATTTTGACCCTTATGGGGCACTTTACATGTCTCCTTATATTTTGGGCCCTACCAGCGCTTCGAGACAAATAATATTATTATAAAATATGGCTGAGAAGAAACGCCGGAACAAAAATCTCAATTTAACCTGACGGATATGTTACATTTTAAATTAATTATTAAATATTTACTTGGGATCGCTTGAAGTCAGCCAACCTGTTCTTCGGGTCGACTCCTCGCTTGCTCCTCATCAAAAGAATCAGCCGCTTTATGTCTGGGCATGTTGTCAGCAGTCTTTCCACTAGCACCTAAAATCATTTATTATTTATTTAAATATGGGCTACGAACTACCATAAATAAAATAGGGCTCGTCCCCACGGCAACGGCGGACTTTCGTGTGAACAAACCCTAAGTCGATGGCTCCTACGTATACTGGCGTAAGTGAAAAAAGTAAATTTTACAGGAGAGCCATTTTAGTGGCCAGAACCATATTTTTGGGTCATATCTTCTGACCTACTAAAACGAATTTAATGAAATTTCACATTTAGCCTTAACATGTAATGCCTTTGCTACTGCTGTTATCATTTTTTATATTTTTCTTATATATTTTGAGATTTTACGCATTGCCCTTTTACGTCGGCATATTTCTATAATTTCATGTATATTGTTCAACGTAAAGAGACTTAAATGACAACGTAAATATAATATTTTAAGCGATTACTCTCTTTATTTATGCATGTAATTATTTTAATTGTTATCATGTGCTATATCAATAATAAATCAGTTAGAAAAAGTCGTTTAATGTACCGTTTTACGTTTTAACGCAAATACGCCCATATACTGTGCTCGAGATTTAGTTAGGTCTTTTAACATAATGTGTCATATTTTTAAAAAATATAAATAACTTGAAAAAATCGAATTGCCTAAGGCGGGAATTGAACCCACGATGCCTTAGGCAGTTCGATTTTTTCAAGTTATTTATAATTTTCAAATTAGTTTGAGATGCGACTCTTAACGCTAAAAATTAAATAACTATATAATGTGTCATAATTTATAAATAAAACAATTTGCTAAATATTTTCATGGCTTTATTTAAGATTTGGATTATAAAAAATATATGTTTATGTAAGCAACTACTCGTATAGATTGACGAATCGTATGATTGGGCTTTATACGTGGCGTAGTTTTGCACATACGCCTATTTGCCTAAAATTTTATTTTCTATCTAATGGAAAAAAATTTTTTTTTTCTTACTGATGTTATAGATTAGAGCAAAGTGAAATCATTGCTTAAATAATTGGAAAAAGGCGTAAGCGGCAGTTTCGCCCTTATACGTAGGAGCCATCGAAGTAGGAACCCCTCTACACAGCTTGATCGCTATTAACCCAAACAGTGAAGGTCAAGTTTGTCCCGGGGAAAGTTAAACTGTTATTAGACCCGCAACGAACTTAATCAGAAGAACATAGGAGGAGTTCGAAGTTAAGGTTCGTCTTCCCTCCAGTGCAAAACGGGTGACAGGTGACAAAACAGGCTAAATGATAGAATAAGACACCTACTTTTCCCATGAAACCAGTTCCTCCTGTGATAAACACCGATCTCCCCGCAAAGAACTGCGATATGGACACCAGCTCTTCAGAAAACACCGACATCCTAATACTTGTAGGTAATTAGTTAAATTATAAATTAATTAATAATTACATTGGTTAATATTTGTAATAATTATTAATTTAGTATTAATACTTGACATTGATTTGTATGTAATATTAATTATTTTGTTAAGAATAAATACCTATTCTTACTATTATTAATTTATTTAGAAAACAACATACAAAATTTTAATTAGGTAATCTTTGATTTTTAAATAAATTACATTTTTAAATTTAATTAACCCTTTGTATATCAACATGGATCAATAAAGAATTTTAATCGAATTGAATTTAAATAAAAAATAAATAAATTTACTGATTTTCTGGTTTTACCTACTTAATTGTAAACTAAAAAGTCCGGAACTGAAGAGGTGGTTTTTGATACTAGGCCTACCTATTGATTACAATGTAATCTTGCATTATCTTTTGCTTACATTATCAAGTAGTATTTCATATCAATGACCGTGTAAATCGATAAAAAATTGCAGAAAAGTACTCGAGTGGCCTACATAGGCCTCCCACTAATTGGAGTGAAGATCTGTTGAATACCACGGGAAGTTACCTAAATGCGGGCAGCGCAAGAGCGGTCGTTGAGGAAATCATTAAAAGGCCTTTGTTCAGCAGTGGAACATTATTTAATTTTGGCTGAAACGAATAAACGCCTGAGTAAATCGATATAATTTAATATTATACGATTACGCTTGTCACACTATCTTCATGCACGAAAAAATGTAAAGTAAAAGTGTTTTTTATTTATTTATTTATTAAAAATCTTGGTACAACAGGCAAGCTTAATGTCATGTGGTGCCATTTTTTCTAGCTAACCAACAAGTTAGACAAAACAGAGAATTTGAGTAGGCGGTGCAAACTATTTTTAAAAGCCTATTTGCAAAAATAAATGAGTTTTATCAGTTTTAGTTACCTATCTCCACTTTTATTGCGTGACTATTTCAATGTTGATAAGTTTTTTATCAGTTTCCCGCCAAATAGTTACAAAACTTTACACATATTATAGCCTGACCAGGAACATAAAAACCCTCGCCATGTTGCGGAAAACTAATGGTACTAATTTCTTTTAATGGCAACAGTAACTGAAAACTTCATTGACATGTCACCTTGCATGTCAGTCTATTGCTGTCAAAGTGTAAACAAACTTTATTTTAAATGTGCGCAATTGATTTTGTGAATTAAATTGCTAAAATATTTTTATAGTCGTGAAAGAAAAGTGGTTCACAATGTGTTAAAGTATTTGTCGAAGAGAAATACTAAGGGTTCGGACAATATTTTCATTGAATAATGTTTCCGACAAAGGTTGTCAAATTGACTGACATGTTTATCGTATAGTACAGTCCACTATGAAAATTAGCTGTGGTTTGTTTCAACTACCTATTTTAAAGATTTTTGTCACTTTCTAAGTGTTGAATTTTATGGAATTGGGAAAGAAGTACCGAGGTTGAAGCGTTCATGAGCAGATATTGCAGTTGAATATTCAAGTTCTGAATTTGATTATTGATGAATAATAAAATAAATCGTACTAGCTCGATTAATGGTTTCATTTAATTTATTTAAACCAGGTTACCTGTAATAATATTTTTTCGTTAATTTATGAAAATAACAAATTAGCCCGTAATTCTGAATCCTGATACATAAAGTTAGTCTATTAATTTAACACAGGTACGACTGTACTCAGTGTTGCACTATCAAATGCAACTGACGCGCCTCTATGCCAAGGTTTTTATGTTCCTGGTCAGGCTATAAAAACGTGTTCGGATACACTATCAAAATAACGAATACCGTTACTCACGTATTTTAGTAGCAATATTCATTATGAGCACTTAATTTAAAAATAAAAACTCCTTTATTTTGATAAATTTCAGATTCTAATTTTGAAAATAATGTCAGATATTGAAATGACAAGAAATAAAAATTCAAAAATAATCCATGAACATGCGTCATGTGGTGTGGCTTACGTTGATGTAAAAAATTAATAAACAAACAAAAAAATTGAAAAAAAAGGTAAGCAATAATGCTGTATTTAAATAACTCGAGTTAACTGCACATCTCGCTGGAATGCGACTCTCCCTCGCATTCAACCGACACCTCGCGTTCGCCTCGTCCATATCAAGCGGCGATGTGACGTCACGGCTGCCAGGTGCGCAGTTAGCTCGACCGACTAAGTCTATTGATTTAGTATAGATCGTTTCATCCACGAAGACGCGCCCCACCATTCTTCCACTAATGTTTGAGTGTTATCGGTACACGCCGAATCATCCATGAGTGCACACGCACACTATAATAATGACGCTCGGATTGCTCGGATCAAACTCCCCGCACCCCGCGCGACAGAGACCAAAAATTGGTAGGGCGCGTCTTCGTGGATGAAACGAAAATCATCAAGTACCTTTGCTTTAATATTTCGTAATTCTTTCAGATTATTGTCCAAAGATTTATGTAAGAAGTAACTGTGAAGTTTCCGAAGCACACGACTGCTGATTCAGTTTACGCTTGACGTGTAATGGCAGAAAGGAAAAAGTGAGTAATCAGTACCCTGGGCACGAATAACTCTAGTAATCGTATATTGAGTATTGAGTATTAATCGTATTCCTTGTACAACCGGCTCTGTTTTGTTTTAAAAACAACCTACCATACGTTAACGAGAACGATGTTTATTCGTGCCCCAAGTACCTGAAAAGTGTCTCTAAAACTGCATTAATTTTTTTATTTTTATTTATTTAACAACTTAAAGACAGTTACATTAAGACAAATAGGTACTAATAAAAAATAAACCTCCTCCTTTTTTAAATTTGGTTAAAAAATACAAGTGTTTGACTACTATTTTGTTTTTTCTTACAATATAAAAAAAAATGAATAATCTATTCTCCTAAATTGTTTTGGCCAAAACATTTATGCTCTCTTTTTTTTCTCTAATTTATTTTTAGTTTTTTAACCAACCTTTTTGTCCTATAGGCCCAAAATCGCTTAAAAGGGCTTTTTTTCTGCACACAAAATGGCGTCGAGACAGAGTACAGCACCGGACCCAAAATCTAGACAAAGCGTGGTACCAGGCGCCGAGAAATCTAGAAAATTTACGTGAGTGTGCTTTTTTTGTTTATTTTTTGTATTTTTTCTTTCGTTTGTAGGATAAATAATGCCTAAGCCGAGTGGTTACGCTGGAGAACGATACCCGGACAAAGACAAGGCTCTGGTGTAAGTTTTTTTTATATTTTTAAATACACTGGTCATCACAAAAATCGACCCTCCCGCGACAAGCACTTTCAAACGTATGCATCCCCACTTCCCACCAATGTTGGCACCATTTAAAAGCCTAGTTCTAAACTTCATTTCATTAAAGGAAAGGTTTTTACCCCAAAAATGTGTCTGTAGAAGAATCCAGAGTCACTTCTTCAAAAAATAGGTAGTTACGCTTTTGCCAACTTTCTTTTATGGCTATAAAACTGTTAAGTTGGGATTAATCGCTATCCATCTGTTAAAGAGGACACGTGCGATCATTAGTTGGTTTTATAACCATAAAAATTGGTCTAATTGATCCCAGAGGTGAGCCCAAAGTGAGGTCTTTTTTCAAGTCACATTTATTGTACATCGCGATAATGTTAATCGTTTATTAAGAAATTAAATGTGTTTTTCTTTAAGGATATTTATTGGGCTTTCAATAATAACACCAATATTGTTGGGGCACCATGATTGTGTCAGTAGAAACGAGTTTTCCTGTAAAACGTAGGTGGGCCGATTTTTGTGATGACCAGTATATTATATCTTTAAAAACGAAACGTCACTGACTCACGAAATCTCAGAAACGACAATTTTATTGCTAGAAGTCTCAAATTTTGTATGGGGGTTCCTTTTAGAACGTAGGTGCTGACTAAGAACGGATTTTTACGAAACTCCACGATAGTGTAAAATGGGATCCACGCGTACTAAGTCGCGGGCGGCCGCTAGTTATTACTATACTGCTGCGCTAACTGCGCACCTCGCTAGAATGCGACACTCACTCACGCGTTCGCCCCGTCCGTACCAGAGCGGCGATGTGACGTCACGGCCGTCAAGTGCGCAGTTAACTTGATTGGATTGTGCACTATTTGCAATAAAAAGCTTAACTATTTCCGCAAAGTTCTTCAGAAGTGAGATGGGTGTCAGTTTTCATTCTCTCTCCCTCTCTTTCACACTCTTTCTCATAGTGTTCAGGGAGCAAATCGAAGGAGAAATTATGCGACCTGGCCTCCCCAACCCGTCTGGCCAGCGTGGGGAGTGTAGGCCAAATCCTTCATTTGCCTCTGGTAAATTAGAAAAACGTCCTCTTGTAGTGGGGACTAAATGACCTGATGATGATATGAAAAACTTGACTTGACCTTCACTGGTTAGGTTTTTATTGGCGGTCAAGCTGTAGATCCTGGCTACACAGGAGTTGCAGCGGTGGGAACAAGCGATAAAAATTTTTTTGCTGATTCTTATGTAGGTATCGTTCAGCCAAATGACGTTCAAAGGCCTCCCCCAAGGTTTTCCACAATGAACGGTCCTGCGCTGCCCGCATCCAGGCTTCTGCCGCAACCTTCACCAGATCGTCGGTCCACCTAGTAGGAAGCCTGCCCACGCTACGTCTTCCAGCCAGTGGTCGCCACTCGAGAACTTTTCTGCCCCAACGGCCATCGTCTCTACGAGCTATGTGCGATATTTGCTGATTATGATGATGATTTTTACAGCATATCAGCCGGAGGTGACACCGGTCATGAGAAGAAGGAGGAAAAAGAACCTAAAGATAAAGAGCATAAGGATAAAGATAAAGATAAGGATCATAAAGATAAGAAGAAGGATGATAAATCCAAGAGGGTGCTCGTTGAAATGGCTGAGGCGGAGGATGAGATCGTGAAGACACCTTCGCAGATTGCGAGAGAGTAAGTAAACGAGGCATTATTTTGAACTTTGTTGTATTCTGTTAAAGTCCTAAATAAGTGAACCTGCTCTGATCCGGCTAAGGTAAATCAGGTATACAGGTGGAAATTCCAGTTCAGAGTATAAAGATTTTCGTAGGTTTAATCACGTTGGCATTATAAGTTCTTAATTGCGTGTAAAACCTAGTACACATAATTTCGATGTCGTCACAGCAATATAACTCTTAGCCAGTTTGCTGTACATTATTCCACCTTAGGTGGATCGATGGAATCATAAGTAAAATTTCTTGACTTCAGTCAAATAACTCTATCCATCATTCCAAGCTAAATATTTTTTTCACTAAAGAAGAGACGAGATGAAAGGATCGAGCGACCACTAGAATTTCGTTAACGTCTCGTTTCCACTCAACTTCAATTGGAATGGTTAAGTATGGTTCTTCTATGCTTTGGTGAAAAGCTCCTAACCTGCCTAACCTCGCTATGCCATTCGTCTCCGCACACCACTCTGTGTCTCCATTTTGTTATGCAATAGATAGGACTCCAACTGAACAGTAGACAGGACATCAGCCTGCTAAAACTGCATAAAATGCTGCAGTGCATAAATGGCAATGCCAGATTTTGTATGGACGGTGGCGTCTTTTTTTTTTCGCGCGACCATCGACCAAACTTTGTTTTTTGATTAAAAAATAGTGTAATAAACCAAACTTACTATGACATGTATACCTCTAAACTCAGTCTGAACTGAGTTACGAGCGTTAGAAGTTTGATGATTTACATACTAGATTTGCTTTTTGCGCGCAAGTTTTGTAAGAAATTGCAACAAAATATTGCGCAATTTTTTTATTGCGCTGATTCTGCTCCACACTGATGTCTGGAGCCTTTAATGGATGGTATTGCTTGTTTACACATACAATCTCACTATTTTGTTGCAATTTCTTACAAAACTTGCGCGCAAAAAGCAAATCTAGTATGTAAATCATCAAACTTCTAATGCTCGTAACTCAGTTCAGACTGAGTTTAGAGGTATACATGTCATAGTAAGTTTGGTTTATTACACTATTTTTTAATCAAAAAACAAAGTTTGGTCGATGGTCGCGCGAAAAAAAAAAGACGCCACCGTCCATACAAAATCTGGCATTGCCATTTATGCACTGCAGCATTTTATGCAGTTTTAGCAGGCTGATGTCCTGTCTACTGTTCAGTTGGAGTCNTTTTGTATCTAAAAAACATTATTTGGTCGATGGCCGCGCGAAAAAAAAAGACGCCAATTTCCGGCATTGTCTTTTGTGTACCAGGGAAGCAGAATACCGCGCGCAACTCCGCAAGCAGCGCTTCAAGCGGCGATGGCCGGAGATCACCAAGGTGAAGATCCGGACGAGGCCCTGGCACCCGCCACCGCCACCGCAGAGGATGCCGGCTATAGTAAGTAGTTGCTACCCCTTGGTCAAACAAGTACCTAATTATAGATCGTTTCATCCAGGAAGACGCGCCCCACCAATTTTTAGTCTCGGTCGCGCGGGGTGCGGGGAGTTTGATCTGAGCAATCCATCCAGTCATTATTGTAGTGTGCGTGTGCACTCATGGATGATTTAGCGTGCAGGTACCGACACTCAAACATTAGCGGAAGAATGGTGGGGCGCGTCATCGTGGATGAAACGATCTATACCTAATTAGGTACGAAGTTGCATTGAAATTCGTTGAAATTCCGCGTGACGTCACAAAGTGCAACACTTTTAAAAAGCACTCCTTGACGTCACGGAACTTTAACGCGCTTTATCTCTTAAAATTTTCATTACTTTGAAAAAGTGAAATATACGTGTCGAGTATTTTTTCGATAAGTTAACTGACGGACTAACGCCCGTATTCACAAACGCTGCTTGTTTAAGTAAAGCAGCAAATCGAACGCACAGCGTTGAATAGAGCTCTGTGATTGGTTCGTATGTCACCCTGTGCGGCCACGCGTACTTTAAGAGCGCTTTCACATTAGAGCGTTAGTAGCGCGACAGCAGCGCGGCAGCGGCGGTTTTATAATGTGAAGTCAGGCATCCGCTGTCACATAGTATGAAATTTTCAGCAGCGCGTCTGTCGCGCTTAGGGTACCGGGTCCAAAAACACAAAAGCCGGACTCTGTGCTGCGTTAGCGTCACCGCGGCAGCCAAATAAAAAGCCTAATAAAAGCCGGACAGGCCGGACAAGACAATATTTGGCCGGACAAGTCCCTAAAAAGCCAAACATGTCCTGCCAACCCCAGTCGCGCTGCTAAATACCCAACATCCCTATTATCTGACAGCCAGTTTGTTGCGATTTGACCATGCATTTCACCATAGACTATAGACATCCCCGAGATGAAGTTCCGGCGTTGGGTGCCGCCGTACCGCCGCCGCCGGCGGCCGCGACCGAAGAGGCAGCGGATCCCTCTCGAAGAGGTCACGCAGCCTTTGTACGAGTGTGCTAAGTTGAGGAAGGTGAGTTCAAACTCCTTACTTTAAACAGTTTTTATGTAGAAAAAAAAATGCGTTTCAAAAACCCATCTTAAATAATTTTATTATTCTCTAGATTTGACTCTCAGCTACGTCATTAGCTCTTCTTTTCGGTTTAAAAAGTACACCACTCGTAAATTAGACAATTTCTGAGAATATTTGAGCTTCATCAAACTAAATCCAAATGCTGAAACTAAAGTCAAATGCTAAATAAACCAAAGTCAAATGTTGAATCTCAAATCAAATGCTGAAACTAGAATCAAAATTTATGCTGAAACTAGAATCAAATGCTGAAAGTAGAATCAAATGGCAGAAACTTAGATGCAACTCAAAAGTAACTAGCAGTTGCAGTTTCATTGCAGTTGCGTTTCACCGTCTGTTCTGGGCCTAATGCTGAAACTAAACTCTAAGGCCCAGAACAGACGGTGAAACGCAACTTCAACGAAACTGCAACTTTCTGATGATTCTGATAAATGAAACTGAAACTGAAAGTTTCAAACTGGTCGCGTCATGTGTGGTCTCTCAACGGACGCTATGGCAGAAACTTAGATGCAACTCAAAAGTAACTAGCAGTTGCAGTTGCGTTTCACCGTGTGTTTTGGGCCTAATGCTGAAACTAAAGTGTGTTTCAGATCTGGCACAACTTCTGCCAAGTGGAGAAGAACAAGATGATCATACAAGGGAGCATCGCCTGCAACTCCAAGAAGTATTCTTCTACTGCTTGCGGTTCGTTAACATAACTTATAACTCCTCCTATGTTCTTCTGATTAATTTCGTTGCGGGTCCAATGACAGTTTAACTTTCCCCCGAGACAAACTTGATCTTCACTGGTTGGGTTATTGGCGGTCAAGCTGTAGATCCTGGCTACACAGGAGTTGCAGCGGTGGGAACGAGAGGTGGGAATAGTCCCGTTAGTGAAGTTACAAGGTACTTTTTGCGCCTAACTCAGTCAGTGCATGAGGTATGGGAGCGGCATGGGAGGGGTGACAATGACATATCGTCGGCTGATTGCAAGAAGTCATTAACTAGCAGAAACATGATTTCGAGAAATAGCTTAATGAAGTTTGGAGAGAAAAAAGCCATTTAAAAAAATATATAATAGGTAGCGCCGCAATGAAAATGCCGATACATAAAAATAAGTCTTAGTAAAAATTTTTAGTCACTGGCATTTCAAAATAACGTACACAGTATTTAAAAAAAATCAAAATATGAAGTTATAGCCTGACCAGGTACATAAAAACCCTCGCCATGTTGCGGAAAACTAATGGTACTAATTTCTTTTAATGGCAACAGTAACTGAAAACTTCATTGACATGTCACCTTGCATGTCAGTCTATTGCTGTCAAAGTGTAAACAAACTTTATTTTAAATGTGCGCNTAGCCGTTTACCTTACGACTGTACTCAGTGTTGCACTATCAAATGCAATTGACGCGCCTCTATGCCAGGGTTTTTATGTTCCTGGTCAGGCTATAATGTCTTTTGACTGATGGCCAACTATAACAAACCAAGAAGTAATTACTTTTTACTTTATCGGATTACCGTGATACATATGTTAAATCAAGTTAAATTACGTTCAAAATAATATATATCTTCTGGGTCACATTCTAAACAAAAAATTCAGAAACAGTGCAGTGTGGATGACATAGAAAAGACAACACACGAGATGACGTTTTCTTCATGAAAATTTTCGCAACTACAGATGATATAATTTTGTAAATCTGTAGCTACGAATTCTTACATAACCGATGCTAATTGCTAGATAAAAATAGGGTATACACGAGCACGAAATAATCCTCCCTCAGACACTACCGTGTAGAAAATTTTCATGAAGATTACATCTCGTGTGTTGTCGCAAAATTTTCGCAACTACAGATGATATAATTTTGTAAATCACTAGCTACGAATTCTTACATAACCGATGCTAATTGCTAGATAAAAATACGGTATACACGAGCACAAAATAATCCTCCCTCAGACACTACCGTGTAGAAAATGTTCATGGAGAAAACATCTCATGTGTTGTCTTTTCTATGTCATCCACACTGCACTGTCTCTGTTGGCAAGATTAAGAAGAGGTGCAGCAAACGCAGTTAAGGAACGGCTGGGATGAACAAGGATAGGCGCATTATAAATCTTTATTAAGTTCTGGCAGTTAGTCAAAACAGTGTGTGTATCGACTATGTTACGACACAAAATCATTAATGGACAATAATTACTTTAATGCTATAAAAATTGACGAAACTGTATTTATCAAGTTTTACAAAAATAAATCTTCCAAAGTACGGCAGATATCCATTTACTGATTCTTGCATAATATAGTATAAGTCGCGGCCAATATCGCCATGCTAGTATGGACACTTAATGACTTTTTGTAGTTATTGACTTCTTGCAATCAGCCGACGATATATTATTATAACGTGACAGAGCATACACCTGAAGGAGATCCAAAAGTCTCGCTGACATTTGACCGTCACAAAACACCCTCCCGTGCCTCAGGCACTGACTGAGTTGAGCGCTAGACCTATAGCTTAAAAAGTACACAAATAATCCTCCTACCCGATGGACAAATCTATTTCTAAAAAGTTCTGGATACAAATGACGCCCATCCATGACTGTTTGTGGAATTGTGGATGACAATGATTAGTGTTCACACTCCACACACTGAACACAACCAAAAAAATAACTATTTACATAAAAACTTGTTTTAAAAATATCTTCTTTATTACCATCCAGGGTCTCAAACCGGCTGTATAGCGGTCATATGCCGCGCTCTTCTGGAGGAGAAGACTCCAGCACAGTTGAATAGACGGGACGTAGACGACATCATTCTGACCGGCGACCGGTACTACAAGCAGTGCTTGCTGGCTATGAAGTGCTATAAAGGTAAGACATTGCTAAAAATGCTATTTTAGGACTAAACTTCCTACTGCGAGAATGCATGCCTGCAAGCTTAATTTTTTCAGATAGTACTGGTGTTGTCTTTATAACAGGTTTTCAAAAGTGTTGGTATACCAACTCTCCATTAAGCTTACTCCTCATTATGCTGATTCCCATATTCCTAACTAAACATTGTTTTACCCGCCATACTAACATATCACTGTGCTAAGTGCTAACTCCTCACTGTTAACTTCCCCACTATGCTACCTCCCTATTTTGTAAACCCATTTTTTCTAGCTTCTAGATTCCTATTTAGAGCAAAAGGAGAATCAAAATGGTAGGGTATCCAAGTGTAAAAGCTTTCTTGTGGTCCTGTTGGGAGGACAAAGCAGAGGCATCTATCGGGGGACAATCAGGAGTTAAACGATTATCACACTGCGCCGCGCTCCGCCGCGGTACGCGGGACGACAGATTTAATCATTGTATGAAAGTACCTCAGTTTGTATAGAAAACACGCGCGGCACAACACACTGACAACGCGTCCGCGCGCGGGATTCTTTAATGAAATCACGCGGACCGTGGCGCAGCGTGATTAGTCAAGCGGTTCGGAGGAACCACGAGTAAAAAGCGAATTCCTTTTTGGTCCCCCTTGAGGGACAACACAATTCAGAAGGTACTCATCTTCACTGATTGGGTTTAATTAAAAGCCAAGCTGTAAATCCTGGCTGCACAGGAGTTGCAGCGGTGGGAAAGAGAGGCGGGATAAGTCCCGTTAAGTCAGAGGCTAATAAAACCCACTAAAAATGTGTCTTTAAAAGTTAAAGGCTACAAGTGCTAGGAGTTTCAAATTTTGCATGGGGATTTCTTTTAGAACGTGCTCACTAAGACGGGATTTTGCAAAATTCAACCTAAGGGGGTAAAACGGGATCCACGCGTACGAAGTCGCGGGCGGCTGCTAGTATCAATATATTTTATGTATTCTCCAGGGAAACCAGCCCTCCAACTTAACCAGCTCTTGACGTCGTTCTTCCTGCATGACACTAAGTACACCGTCAAGATGCTGGAGACAGACAAAGGACTGTTGGCGAAGCACCCGGACAATATACAAGCTGAGCCGGACTTGATGTCGTAAGTAACAAAAATTTTGTAAAATAAAGTAGGACTGAGGTCTTCTAACAACATAGGAGAAGAGTCCAAAATAATTCCTATGTCCAAAAAGAATTTGTGAAAGATAGTTTCATCCACAAAGACGTGCCCCACCATTCTTCCGCTAATGTTTGAGTGTTATCGGTACACGCTAAATCATCCATGAGTGCACACGCACATTACAATAATGCCGCTCGGATTTCTCGAATCAAACTCCCCGCACCCCGCGCGACATGACCAAAAATTGGTGGGGCGCGTCCGAGTTGATGAAAATGATCTATGCTGAGGTCTTCTAACAACCTAACAAACATAGGTAGATACGTTAATTATAGTATTTTTATCCAGTGTAATAATGTAGTTCCTAACAACCTAGGAAAAGAGTCGAAAATAATTTCCATGTCCAAAAAGCATTAAATTGTAGTATGTAGCTCTTACATACTACAATTATACAAGCATAGCATACCTACGCTACTTGTAGCATCGGCGATCAGCGATTTAGCTGCTTTTAGCAGAGTGGGCAGGCCTCCCACTAGGTGGACCGACGATCAGGTGAAGGTCGCGAGAGGTGCCTGGATGCAAGCGGAGCAGGACCGGCCTTTGTGAAAATCCTTGGAGGAGGCCTTTGTCCAGCAGTGGTCGTCTTTCGGCTGAAACGACGACGACGACCTACTAACTTATTATTTATGATTATTTCTTACCCAGAATGATGGAGAAGAGAGCCGGTACCACCTATATGACGATTCTCTCTATCGGAGGGACGAGGCATTTTCTAATGTGGGGACACCCGCCTCCGCCGGAGGCTGGGTCCCAGGTCAAGACCGTCTGCTACATCTTTGACCCACACTCGCTGAATCAGAACGGACAGCCGGACGCTTTGTAAGTCTATCATCATCATCATCATTTCAGCCATAGGACGTCCACTGCTGAACATAGGCCTCCCCCAATGCTTTCCACGTTCACCACCTACAAGGTGGACTTATTTATTTTTATTTTTATTTATACTTCAGCACACAAAGTAACAAATGCACTGTGGCGGACTTAATGCCGGATGGCATTCTCTGCCAGTCAACCACGGGTCATGCAGAAAGAGTAAGGCGGTGCAAAAAATTTACATTTTTTTATAATAAACCTACTTACATAAGATTACATAAAATAAATAACATAATACAAATAAATATAATAGACATACACATAAATACATAAACATAATAATAATATAGACTACTTACTTACGACATCGTAAAGGTAGCAGGGAAGCGCTGGACGCAGGCCGCTATCAATCGATCAACGTAAGTCTATTACTTATCTTTAGTGTTTGGTGCAGGCCTCCCACTCAGTGGACCGACGATCTGGTCAAGGTCGCGGGAGGTGCCTGAATGCGAGCGGCGCAGGACCGGTCTTTGTGGAAATCCTTGGGAGAGGCCTTTGTCCAGCAGTGGACGTCTTTCGGCTGAAACAAACGAATGTTTGGTGCATCAGTACCACACCAGAAACCAGAAGTACTCGTTTCAACGTCATAAACCCGTAGTCCACTGTTGGATAAAGATCTCCCCCAAGGATTTTACAGCAACTGGTCCTACGCTGCTCGTATCCAGGAGCGCTCCTTGAATCAGTAGACCATTCAATTTCATACCAAAACATTAATTCTGTTGAATTTTTCAATTTCGGATTGGCAAAAATACGAGAGGGATACCTACCACACGCATAAGTAGTGACGAAATATAGATTTTTTGGTTCGAGACTACTGGTTCCTGCCACCTTAGTCAAGTTGTAAAACTTAAAACTCCATACAGAAAACGTTGGAGCGAAGGCCTTTAAAAATTACAACTGTCACATCTTTCCACTTGTCTATGGGGGCTGGTTTGGCACTGGACTGGTACACCCACACTATTTAGTATGACATTCTAAGCGGTACGAGTTTGCAAAGTCGGCTAGTATATTAAATATGATTTTGCTTCAGGTGTGGTGCAGGAGCCTTCCTCAGATACGCTGGAATCACTTCGTTCGTGCTGGACTTCTTGGCAAACTACGGGGACTTGGATTCTGCGAAGAAGGGCACGCCGAAACCTTACATCACCCTCACTAATATTGATGTAAGTTTTACATCACTTGTAGCGATTAGCTAATAAATATTCTTTACAGAAGGGACTTAGCATGGCAGCAATCGCTTTATTTATTCGTTACCAAAACGTTGATAAGATACAATCTTATTCCAATTGTAACAAAGAGGTGTTGCCAACTTTTTGGCTACTTTGGGTGTCACGAACTATTTGACGCTGGCTATACAACGCGACGCGAAACGCCGCCTTGGAGCTTGCTTATATTGCAAGTTGCTGATCAAGTAACACACGCACAATAAAAATCGGGTAAAAGACAGCGCGGCTTTAAATCTAAACAACATCTTTAGATGCTCATCTTCTTCCAAATCCAGGTGGTCCAAAAAGAACCGCTGATCCGCGAACCCAACTACGAGCTTGACTTGAAAGCGCTCAAGATCCACTGCAAGAGCGAGTGGGACAGCATCAACATTAACGCGCTTATCGAAAAGAAGCTCAAGGAGGTTCGTATCTACGCGACGGCTTGTTCCGTTTATCCACCCTTATAAGGTCATAGCAGACTTATCAACTCAGAAAGGGATCAACGTCTTTAGCGCTGTCAACCGCGAGGCGTTTGTGTTACGGTGCAGATAAGTGTGCGTTGCAGTATGGAGTTTCATACAAAGAATATTGACCGCCTCGAGTTGATACGGTTACGATCAGTTTCCGGCTTGATAAGTGGCTACGTCCTTTAATCTACTAAAACCCGATGGTGTCCACCTCCGCGAGTTTACTTGGTAATTTGTCCGTGGCTACCTCTTAGGCTTTGGCTTGCTCGCCCTTTGGTGGATACTAGGGCTTGCAATATCGGATAGTTTTCAACTCCGGAACTGATTTCCGATATTGGGCACTCAACTCCGGAATTCCGGTTCTAGTTCCGGAGTTGGTTAAAAAAAGAAAGCGCCTACCGACAAACACGTACACGTATGTGGCCTCCACTTTAGAACCTTGCCCCATCGGCCGTCTGTTCTACGTACTATGTGCCCTGCCCATTGCCACTTTAGCTTGGTAATCCGATCGCTATATGTCAGGCAACTTTAGTTCGTTTACGAATCTCCTCATTTCTGGTTCGATCTCGAAAAGAAACACCGAGCATAGCACTCTCCATACCATGGTGTGCAACTTTGAGCTTAAGTAAGAGGCCTTATAGTAAGAGGCCACGTTTCCGAACCGTGTGTCATCACTACTGGTAACACACACTGATTGTAGACTTTCGTCTTTAGGCGCTGAAGTGTTTTGGTCGAAAAGATGTTATGTAGTTTCCCGAACGCTGCCCAGCCGAGTTGAATTCGACGTATTATTACATCTCCCTGCCTCACAACTCGCTGCAGAGGAATCGCAGAGGAATCGCCCTCGTGTTCAGCCAGGCTCAAAGACCTTCTCATAGTCTAAGAACGCCAAGCATATAGGCAAGTTAGACTCTTCAGTCTTCTGTATAACCTGCCGTAGCGTATAGATGCGGTATATGGTAGTGTAAACGTTTCGATAACTGGCTTCCTCGAGAGACTATAAGTCATCGAACCTACGCGCGAGACTATTCGTGATGGCTCTCAAAAACAGAGTCAGAACCCAGATGGGTCTGTAATTCTTTAATAAGGCTTTTACCCCTTTCTTAAAGAAAAACACCACCAAGCATTTGTTCCGTGCCTCTGGCATTATTCCCTGGAGTAAGACGGAGTTACAGTCTATGAAGGACTTTCAGTATCGGCTTATCACCTGCCGCGTTCAGAAGTTCCGAGGTAATTCCGTCATCACCCGGTGCCTTGTTGTTCTTTAGCTGTTTGAGAGCCATCCTAATCACGTAAGGGCTGATGTCCGGCTAATCTTCGGTATAGTGTCGCGTTAGCTTAGCTGTTGGAACTGTCCTGTGGCTGAGCTATTAACAGGTTTTACTCTATCATCCGCTCTCTTCAGCTGGCTTCGCCCATTAGAGTTGACTCTAGCGAACATTTTGGAGCTTTGGTTTCGCCCTATTGCCTCTTTAATGTTACCTATTACTAATAAAGTTACATATCTCAAGGACTTCCTTATCTAAGAACCTATTTTGATACTTAAACGTTTTGAAAATTTAAAATAATTTATGAAAAATTTCAATATCGGAATACGATATTGGCTTCAGTTCCGGAATTGAAATATCGGTAAAAATGTATCCGAAATTCCGGAGTTACGAAATTCTGGAATTCCGGTATTCAAGCCCTAGTGGATACTGGAATTCCGCTTCCGCTCCCATAAACCCCGCTAAACGCTAGACCTTTAGATAATCTCTTACTATCCCTACTACAAGTTTTTTTTATTATTTTTAGGGTAAATCTAAGCCTTGTTGCTCCAAGACCTTGAAGTAGCATGTTCCCAAAATTCCAAGGCACTTTGTTTATGTAGGTACCCTTGACTTTTTCATTTTAATCCATCGTAAAATTTTCATTCGCGACTGCACATCAGGCTATTCATATTTGTTTTAAAATCAACTTCGTTAAAATTACATTAGATGCCACAATCTTTAGCTTGAATCTTCCTAAATATACTAAACAATTAATGACAGTTAACTTTCCCCCGGGACAAACTTGACCTTCACTGTTTGGGTTATTGGTGGTCAAGCTGTAGATCCTGACTACATAAGAGTTGCAGTGGTAGGAACAAGTGGTGGGAATAGTCCTATATCTAATTATACTGCTTTTTTGAAGGTGTTTATAAAATTTTCAGGGCCAATACCCGCAATGTTCTCTGAGTGCTGTCAGTCTAGCCACATCGAGGGCCACTTCAAGGAAGAAGGTCAGGGACTTCTACCAGAAGACTCCGAAGGAGGTAAGGCCATTACAGCTACAGTGTTTTAATGCATTTTAACTGTTCGTAATACCTCGAATAAGTGAATGTTTGCGGTCAGTTTGAAGCTGTAACAATCAAGTTTCTATACTAACATAATCAATGATCCACTATGCTTTCCTGTTTTCATATTTTTGTTGCTAAATCAACCACAAAAAACCCAGCGTAGGACGTCCATCCACTACGTGGAGCGCCGACCTCATAATGATAGCAGGAAGGCGCTGGATGCAGGCCGCTACCAACGGGGCGATGTGGAAATCATTGGGGGAGGCCTATGTTCAGCAGTGGACGTGCTATGGCTGTAATGATGATGATGAAATCATCCATATAACAACTGCGGTGCCCCAGTTATCTAGATTCGTCAGTCTCCCATTCTTCTTCTCCCGTTCTTTTGATTAATTTCGTTGCGGCTCCAATGACAGTTTAACTTTCCCCCGGGACAAACTTGACCTTCACTGGTTGGGTTATTGGTGGTCAAGCTGTAGATCCTGGCTACAAAGGAGTTGCAGCGGTGGGAACGAGAGGTGGGAATAGTCCCGTTTATATCCTCCCTAAGTGTGGTATTCGATTGCAAAACTAACTAACTATCCTCCCATATCTTTGTAGCCTCCTCCTCAACTGCCAATGGCTCCAGAGAGGGCCCCACCGGCTCCAACCCAAGATCAGATCATGTCCATGAGGGGTGAGGACTTCTTCCTCTATTGCCCTCGGAGTGACGGACACAACTACGGCAGGTGAGTGTGGAATATACTGCATATATTTTTATTTATAGTCTGGTCTGTGAGCACGTAGAATTTTGTCCAATGACCCCAAGCTACCCATCCATATCGCTCGCAAGTAATTATGTTGCTGTCGCGCTCGCACACTCACTGCGGGCGGCCGGTCGCACAGTCGCGACAGCAATATAATTACTCGCGAGCGATAAGGATGATTGGGTAGCTTGGGGTCAATAGACAAAATTCTACGTACTCACAGACCAGGCTTTACATCAAGGAAGCTCTTGGCCTACACCTCGCCTGATGGAAAGTGATAATCGGGACGAGGGTGCAAAAACAATTTGCTAATAATCTTTATTTAAAAAAATGGATGTCTTTCGATTGTAAAAGATAGATTTTCTGTTAGCTATTTGCTCTTGAAATGCTTGAGAGAGACCTTAGTCCAGTAATCAACGCTTTCGAATACAAAAGATAAAGATAACCTCTCTTTTCCTCTTCACCAATCGAACAGAGACGACATGATCCCCCGTCCGAAGTCGGAGACAGTCATCCACAGTCCGGTGGAGATCGCCAACAAGAACTACCACTCGCAGTTCCAACAGTTGGACGTGGAAAGGTGGATCATGAGGGCGACCAGGCACATGGCTAGCTACAGGTGAGTGCAGATGAAAACTGCTTTAACTTCGAACTCCTCCTATGTTTCTAATATCTTGAAGCCGGAAGACGTAGCGTGGGCAGGCCTCCCACTAGGTGGACCGACGATCTGGTGAAGGTCGCAGGAGGTGCCTGGATGCGAGCGGCGCAGGACCGGTCTTTGTGGAAATCCTTGGGGGATGCCTTTGTCCAGCAGTGGACGTCTTTCGGCTGAAACGAACGAAAGAACGAATCTAATTTCTCAAGATAGGGATCATCGGACCCACGACGCTTGATGGCTGACTGCTGATCTCTGAGCTACTTAGACATAGGGTAAACTCATTGAGATTTTCGCCAATAATAGACCAATGTTTTTTCATCAATCTTCTTTCTTCTCCTCATTCTTCTGATTAATTTCGTTGCGGGTCCAATGACAGTTTAACTTTTCCCCGGGACAACTTGACCTTCACTGGTTTATTTATTTATTTATTTAAAACTTATATGCACATAGAACGGTGTACATAAGGCGGACTTAATGCCTTTCGGCATTTTCTGGTTAGGTTGTTAGCAGTCAAGCTGTAGATCCTGGCTACACAGGAGTTGCAGCGGTGGAAACGAGAAGTAAGAATAGACCCGACAGTGGTGTGGATCAGAGGCAGGACCACAGGAAACATATTATGCTCATGTCATCTACATATTCATAAGGCAACATTTAGCCCGGTCAAGTGTTTAGAAATGCCACCTCTTCAAAGGATGTACCAAGCTTCCATCTTCAGGTACCAAACGTTCAAGTCATACACCGGAGTATCCTGCTGCGTGGCCGCACTAGCCATGCTGCGTCGTCTGCGGGCACGGGCCTGGAATGAAGATACCCTGGACGAGACCTTAGACGTGGGGTATAATTTGTACAGGGTCAGTATTCTGAGAGGATGAACCTGTAGCTTGTAGTTTTGCTGATTTTCAGCTGCGAATGTCAGAATCACCTGTTTGTGTGTTGTTTCTGTGCTTTCATCTATTTTTTTCCATTTTTTTCCATTAGTAAACCCATGCCGTCCCGTGCTTTCACTGGTTGACTTTCATTGGCGATCAAGCAGCAGATCCTGTCTGTACAGGAGTTACAGTAGTAGAATGGAAAGAACAGATTGGATAAGTCTCGCCTTTTCTTGGCTAGATCTTCTATCTATCTCCAAACCAAAATTATAAATAGGTTTCACGTTCTAAGCATAAAACTGTAGCAGACTTAGATACAAATTTTTGCTTATTTAGGTAGATATGGTATTTAGCCCATTCAAGAATCGATTGCTAGTAGATTTTCAATAACGTGTTGTCCGATCAGGAGTCCTTGGTGGAACGAGGTGGACCCATCAGGAGGCTGGTCCTCGGTGAGCTGAAGGAGACCTTCAGGATGAGAGACACGGAATACAAGCATAAGGTAAACATATTAAAATTACTTTATATTAGGAAACTATTTAAGCGACAAGGAAAAATTTCCGTGCTTTTAAGCGATTTTGTATTTGCTCATAAGATAGGCCCCCATAATTGATATTTATTGTCCGTGGTGCATAATCTTATCTTAAAGGTTTTAAACCTTTGTTTGTCACCTGTCATCCCCTTCGCAATGGAGGGAAGTCGAGCCTTAATTTCGAACTCCTCCTATGTTCTTCTGATTAATTTCGTTGCGGGTCCAATGACAGTTTAACTTTCCCCCGGGACAAACTTGACCTTCATTGGTTAGGTTTTTATGGCGGTCAAGCTGTAGATCCTGGCTACATAGGAGTTGCAGTGGTGGGAACGAGAGGTGGGAATAGTCCCGTAAAATATTGAAATATTTGACTCTTTCTTGGTGGGGAGATGAACACGGAACTAGCGTTCCTCGGATCTCGAGTCGGCCTGTCTGACGAGATCGTTGGTCTATTGGCGCTCAGTTTTTTTTAAATTCTCCATTTGCCTCTGGTAGAGAACTAGAGAGAGGGTGATCCAGGAGCCTTGAGGAACACCTCCTACAATCCTGTCTAGAAACGGCCGTTCTTTTAGAAAGTACGCTGTTCATCATTGGGTATCATCATTCAGCAGGAGCACAGCCCTCTCCAATTTACCAGAGGCAAATGGAAGATTAGGCTTACACTCCCCACGCAGGCCAGACTGGTTGTGAGCCTACTTCAAGTTTTGTACAGGCTTACTTTTAGCCTATGCGCAGACCATAGATTTTTTGTCGGCCGATAGTTTAGTTGGGCAGTTGATCAGAATGGACATGTATGGAAGTGCGCACATTACGCCGATTCAATTTGGCCGATTCTTCATACTATTCTAAATCGGGCACAACTATCGGCCAACTAAAAATCGATGGTCTGCACCTAGTCTTAGAACTACTAGTTTCTGTCAAACGCCTTTGAACCATCCAGTTTCATGGTAAAGGCTTCATAGCTTAGGATATTTTCCACTTAGGGTGTTTTTAATTACATTGTTTTACAGCTTCGTGGAATAGCGGTGTGGGGAAAACTGGTATCTGGAAACCCGAAGGTGTTGGATCTGTGTAGAGGTCTGGAGAATTTCTTCAAGGAGGCCGATTCAGGCGTTTTGCAAGTAAGTTCTTACGAACTATTTATATTATATTCTAACCCTGGGTTGCACCATCTTACTTTAACTATAAGGGCTAAATTTTACCGGGACACCATGGCGGCGCAACCAGTCGCCGCTACCACAGAATATTAATAAGTACAGAAGTTTTAATTCGCGAAGGTATTTAAAAAAATTTAGGCTCAATGTCATTAACAATATGGTGTAATTTAGCCTGTCTCAAGAGTCAAGCACCATTTTGTTGACAAACGTCAGTGATCGGCACTGCGCCGAAGCTATAGGGCTGACTTCGGTAAAATGATGTGACGTGAGGTGCCAAACTGCGGAAAATGGCGGAGGAAATATAGGATTTAGCATGAATTATCATGTTAATATTAACTACTTATTTACCTCTCAGTGTCTTGAGGCAACTTAAAAAAGTACATTCTGTGTTTTTGTTATTATTTAGGCAGTTAAATACTGCACAGTATTTAGTACACCATTTTCTTTATTTTCTTCCATCATACACAAAAATACGCGTGCGTGAGTCAATGTTCGCTCGTATGTGAGGCCTTGTCGAATAGTATCCTGTAGGTGGGCCATCGTGCGTGTTTTGTATTCGATGTAAACTCGCGGAGATGAACAGGCCTGCCGCTACCAACAAAATGTATACAGCTTTGCGCAACCAAACGGACACCAGGTGAGTAACTCTCTATAGAGCTGTATACATTTTGTTGGTAGCCGGCGACTGGTTGCGCCGCCATGGTGTCCCGGTGAAATATAGTCCTAAGTTTCAACCACACCAACGGTTGAAGCATAACAAACGTCACAAGACTGTCAATCTCCTTAAAAAAAACACCGGTTACATTTATAGTTATAGTTACTATTAAAGTAAGGTGGTGCAACTGAGGCTGGAGAAATCACATGACGGAAATCGGAGTGGATCAGAATTAAAATAATGTTTTTCCCGTTTTTCATAGATCCCAGGGGAATATGAAGTGGCCATCTGGAACGAAGGTGGCCGGTACTACATCTACCACCCGTGGCCTGCCGACCGCTATGGGTATAGGGTAAGTGGCTCAGCTCCAAATACAATATTATTTTCTTTTCAGAGTCAAAGTCATTGTCATCATTTTTATTTTTAGAGGTTCTGGTGTTACTGTTAAAGGGTAAGATTCAGCATGATGAAACAATGTTGGTTCCATCACAACGCAGTATCTTGACAAGAGAAAGATCATGGGATCTATTCTCACTAGAGAAAATGGACACTTTTTGTTACCGAAACGTCAAAGATCACAGAAAACAGAGTTGGTGTCAACTCAAGTGGAAGCTTCTGGAAACAAAAACAAAAATTGCCTATGTCTACGCAGAGATTTCATATTGATTGTATGAAAAAACAAATTTGCTGGTATGGTAACTTGCACGACCAAACAAGACTCAAGTTAGATTAAAACTAACATAGATCGAACATACGAATACCCTAGAATATATTCATAGGATCGACCTATGTTAGGAAGTTTAGGAACCGATACTTACTGACGTGGAAGAAAACAAGTCTTAGATTAACTTTTGATCTGCAACCTGCATTTATATCGTTAAAACTCCACCCAGGTGGGCCTCCGCGACGGCGGCAAAGCCTGCCTCATGTACTTCACGCGTATCAGCCGTCTCTGCGAACACTTTATGGAGAGCGCTTCGGATCTGAAGAGGAAGCCTTTCAGCATCTCTGATGTCAACGTGTTCGAACAGGGAGAGATGCCCGACCCGATGAATAAGATGAAGCGTGAGTGGTTTTTATGTACCATCATTAGGTCTTATTCCCGTAATCCCAAACGATGCTTGCCCAAGTGAAGCAGCAAATCGGACTCACATCGTTGAATAGAGCTCTGTGATTGGTTTGTGTGACCTTGTGCGTCCACGCGTGATACCTCTTAGTAATGTTTGTGAATTCGGGCGTTATTTTAGTTTCCTTTCTGACCTTCCTGTGAATGTCTTAAAAGGTGACTGCGATATTTAGTCTCTTCTGCAGAAGCAACACCAAGATCATCAGAACCAAATCAATTATTTGTGGGAAAAGTCCTTCCCTCCCCACGTGAGTCCTTACAAATTAAAGAAGGCTTCCTCGAAAACCTTTGGAAAACCTGAGGATCGTAAAATATATGGTATTTGTCCCTTAGTCGCCTCTTACGAACCCATGGGTAGAGTGGGGATGGTAGGACCATCCCCTAAACCACCCACCCAAATGGTCATTTAGCCTAGGCGCAGACCACCGACTTTTATTTGGCCGATAGTTGGGCCCGATTCTAATTTGTATGAAGAATTGACCGAGACGAGAATTGCGCACTTTCATACGTGTCCAATTCATACTAATTACTGATGACAGCCCGATCCAACTATTGGCCAACTAAAAATCGATTGTCTGCGCCTATGCTTAGTTGCTTACTCCTAATTCTTCCCACAGCCGTAGCCCCTAACCGCTGGGTGGTCCGTGGCCACTTCCACGAAGGCGACGAGAGGTTCCCTGAAGAACACCGCAACAGGCAGGCCACGCCGGCGTCCATCGCTGCTATAGCCATGGCGCATATCGTGGAGCCGGCCGCGTGGACCGCTGATGATATTGATGAGGTTTGATCACCATGTTCCCTATTATCATCATCATCATCATCTTCCTCGATTATATCATCACCATCATGCATGATTTCAGTCATGTTCTAGCTATAACGGTGAAAATTATGTAGCCACCAGCTTTGTGGGAAGATATTAAGATAGTCTGTTTTTTAAAACATCATCATCATCATGACCATCATAGTGATCTTCATCACTACCACCACCACCACCGTCATCATCATCATCGTCGTTATTGTCATCATCATAGTCATCATCGTCTCTAAGTATTATTTGATAACAAAAATAACTGCATCTCACTTATCATCAGGTGTAATTGCGGTCAAATACGTGGATTGTTCTGGATAAAAAATTAAATGGGAAATCTTACGTCTAACGTGCCTGAGGTATGGGAGCGGCACGAGAGGGGTGACATAGACATAATATTAGTAAAACGTGACAGAACATACAAATCATACAAATCTGAAATCTTGCTGACGTTTAACGTCTCAAAAACATACTCCGGTGCCATTCCCATACCTCAGACATTGAATAAGTTAAGCGCTTGACCTATAATATTAAAATTTTCTAAAACTTCATCACAGACCCTGATCCGAGGCGACATCCTCTACCAAAACACCATGGAGCACCTCGAACGCATGGGCATCAGCTTGGAACCGCCGAAGACCGAAGAGGAGGCTGGCGAAGAAGAGGAACAAGCACCTTCGGGCACCCTGGCCGCTGCGGATGTGCTGAACAGGTTCAAGATATCGGAGTATGATTGTATCGAGACTGAGGTCATGGACAGCGCTTTGAACGGTAAGTTGTTGGTCAAATCCATATTTAAACCTTCTTCTTATTCTATCAGCAGTATTTAAACTTGAAAGAGAAGAAAAAGACTTCCGAATTTTGTTTTCTAATTTGCGAAAACGTTCGTGAAAACAAAACCTAACCTGACAAAACTTTATGAAATGTAACTTTAAAAACCTATCTCTCGAACCAGAAAACCTTTATCTACTAATCAAAATCTGACTTCTTTTTGAAAACATCTAAAAACCTAAATCTAAAAACCAAACTGAAACCTAAATGTTGATAAACCATTGTGAAAACCTAAACCTAAAAAGTAAACTGAAAGCCGAATTTTGAAAATAAAACTTAATTCTAAAACCCTGTCTCTTCGAAAACATAATTATATCTTCGATCACCTGTCTCATCGAAAGCCCTTAAAACACCTTGCTTCTAAAACCTATCTCTTCCAACATTTGTAATGATATGGAAACCTGGTTCATCTAAAAAACCTAACTGAGGCTGGTGAGAAAGAGGAGCAGGCTCCATCGGGCACCCTGGCCGCTGCGGATGTGCTGAACAGGTTCAAGATATCGGAGTATGATTGTATCGAGACTGAGGTCATGGACAGCGCTTTGAATGGTGAGTTGATAGTTTCGAGTCTTTTATTTTATAACACGATATCCCAACGGTGAACAGGTGAAACTAGCCGATTCAAGATTCAAACAACACCTTGTAACCTTACACTTTGTAAACTAAACCATTCGGAAACGTAATTGACAAAACTTTTCTCCTAATATAACTTTTCAAAAACCTTACTCCACAAAAACTGAACTTTTTGAAAACGTAACTATTCGAAAACCCTAACTTACGAAAACCTAACTCACGCAAACCTAACTCACGAAAACCTAACTCACGAAAACCTAACTAACGAAAACCTAACTATCGAAAACCTAACTCACGAAAACCTAACTCACGAAAACCTAACTCACGAAAACCTAACTCACGAAAACCTAACTCACGAAAACCTAACTCACGAAAACCTAACTCACGAAAACCTAACTCACGAAAACCTAACTCACGAAAACCTAACTCACGAAAACCTAACTCACGAAAAAGATCATCATCATCAACAGCCCTTTACAGTCCACTGCTGGACTATGAGCCTCCTCCACTATAGTAGAGGGTTTTGCCATAATCCCCACGCTTGGCAGGCGGGTTGGAGATCGCAGTTTATAAGATTTATGTTTGTCAGAGAGCGCTGCTGCCCGTTCTCTGTTTGATGTGTAGTCCCTAAGTTGCCTCTTACGACACCCGCGGGAAGAGTAGGGGTTGGTGACAAATGTACTTGAATGTACACGAAAAAGATACTTGCGAAAAACTATGGATTTAAAGAAAATTGAATATTGATAAAAAAATGTGTCATCTAGGTTTCCTAGGTTGAAGAAGTCCTGGAATGATTGCTTCTTCTTCGCAGGTCAACTGAACCCAGAGCCGGGTTCAGGAGTGCTCTCCCTCAAGGATTCCCTCAAGCATCTTTTCAAGGAGTACACCCACGCCGTGGTGACCGCTCGTGGAGGCTCCACAGCGATTTGGAGCAGCGACCAGCACTTGTACTTCTTCGACCCGCACGGCTGCGATGATAATGGTCAGTGGCCATGACCATGACCATGCCTGATTTTTTGCAGCTAAAAGCAGTTTTGTTTAACGCCCTTTAAAACCACTTTTGACTGGAAAAATCAGTCAAAAGTGGTTTTGACCGAGAGTCTTGACTGTAACACAACTATTATATTTTTTCGATATAGGCGGCCTTTCAGACAAGCCTCGCGCTGAAGCATGCCTGTTCCCCATATCTTTTTAATTTGTTCTACTCTTGATTTCTTGTGCCTTATGCTTCAACCACACCAACGGCGTGCAGATTGCCATGGCGAGGACTGTCATGGGTCGCGCGACCTGTCATTGGCCTATGATCGCATCGGCGATGGCGATCTGCATGAAGCTTTATTCTATTATCATCATGACATCAGCTACTTATACAGGGTGGAATTTTGTAATGCCACCTGAAGGAAAAGTACTCTTAATACTGTAGATAGAAAATTTTACTCAAAGAAAACATTCCTTTATTTTTCAAAAGAAATAGAACTGCATTCAAAGATTTCCAAAAAATTGCTTGCTACACCCGGGAATCGAACCGACTAAAATATGTAAAAAATTACACCCTGTATTTTTATTGAATCGATCGTTAGGGTTAAGTATAAGGATGAAATCTCTCAAGCAAACTTGATAAATCAAATGAAAGGAAAACCATGAAATCTTAAATTATTGTAATTATTTACAGAAAATTGTATGGTATGGTGGTAAATTTTCGAAAAAAATCAAAAATCGTTGAATGCAGTTCTCTTTCTTTTCAAAAATAAAGGAATGTTTTCTTTGAGTAAAATTTTCTATCTACAGTATTAAGGGTACTTTCCCTCCAGGTGGCATTACAAAATTCCACCCTGTATATTCCATGTTTTCGATACAGGCGCCCCTTCAGACGAGCCACGCGCTGCCGCTTGCCTAGTCCGCATCAAGGGCGGTGTAGACGAGCTCGCCAACGTGATACTAGGCAACCTGGCGCCCGGAGCTGATGACAGCTTTAACATCTCGCCTGTGTGTATAACGGCTAGCAAACTGAACGCTGAGTTGGGGGCACCGGAGACGAAACTTGAGGTAAGTGGAACATCATCATCATCATCATCATTACAGCCACAGGACGTCCACTGCTGAACATAGCGCCAGCCTCAAGGGTGTTTCTGCTACCTTTATCAGGTAAGTAGAACACCTATTCTACGTTTTCGGTATAGGCGCCTCTTCATCATCATCATCATCATCATTTCAGCCACAGGATGTCCACTGCTGAGCATAGGAAGCCTCCCCCAATGACTTCCACATCGCACGGTTGGTAGCGGCCTGCATCCAGCGCCTTCCTGCTACCTTTATCAGGTTATTACGGGACTATTCCCACCTCTCGTTCCCACCGCTACACTCCTGTGTAGCCAGGATCTATAGCTTGACCGCCAATAAAACCCAAGAAGGTCAAGTTTGTCCCGGGGGAAAGTTAAAACTGTCATTGGACCTGCAACGAAATTAATCAGAAGAACAGAGGATGAGTTCGAAGTTTATCAGGTAAGTAGAACCCTATTCAATGTTTTCGGTATAGGTGTCCCTTGAAAGACCTTGCTAACGTGATACTGGCCAACCTGGCTCCTGGAGCTGATGATAGCTTCAACATCTCGCCTGTGTGTATTACGGCTAGCAAGCTGAATGCTAAGTTGGGGGCGCCTGAGACGAAACTTGAGGTAAGTGGAACATCATCATCATCATCATCGTCATCATCATCATCATCATTACAGCCACAGGACGTCCACTGCTGAACAAAGGTTTCCCCCAAAGATTTCCACAACGATGGGTCCTGCGGTCCGCATCCAGTTACTTCCCGCCTAATGTGCCTAATGTGCCTAATGTGGATAAGGCCTTCAGGTACCATCATAGTAATATTGTTGTAATTAATTTGTTTACATGATCCCAAGATATTTCGCAAGTTCGTGACACCCAAAGTTCGCAACACGTCTTTGTTACACTTGGAATAAGCTTGTGTTGTCAGCTTTTTGGCCACTTTGGGTGTCACAAACTATTTTTGACGCTGCCTATACTTACCAATACTTGATGATGTCTTTTATCTCAACACTGCTTCTTTTCCAGAGCAAAGCCTTCGAGTGGATCAGCAAGGGTACAGCCGCCATCATGATGGGGCCACGCGGTGAGAACACCGCCATCGGGAAGGCTGCGGAGAAAGTTGGGATCGGGGTAAGTCTTGATCTTTGAATCCTCAATAGGCCTAAGAATTGGTTTTTAACCGTATATTCAAGCATATACAGTAGGCGCTCGAGTTCATGTCCATCGGGGCCTTACTTGCTTACTTATTTACTTATACTTACTTATAAGTTGCAAAAAATATGGAATAAGTAGATAAGGTTGACCTACTTAATTGGTAATAATTATCGATATCGACATTACCATAATTAGTTAGGTAACAGCACTACCGCATTCCTCAGGATGGACATGAGCTCACGCACCTACTGTAGGTTGTGTTTCCATTAGAGATGGGCTACGAAGATGGGTGGAGCGACCATGTATAGCGAAGCTTTGAAACGCGTGGGTGTTTCAACCAGGGATGTGCTTAAAAGATGAGACGTGCTTTGATCATGACTGTGAATTGATAAACCATGCTCCATCGCTCGAATCATAGCACACACCTCCCTTGTTTCCCTCTCTTGTTTCTCGCTTGTTTTGTAGGTACAACATCGCTCCACCAAGACGTTTTGTTTTACGTACATATCGTCGGATCACGCCCATAAAGTTACCTCTCATGAAAATGGTGGAAATGGACTTTTATCACTCAATGCAACTTGTTTCTTCACAGGAAGACGACATGGCAGGCCGTACGATCGCGTTGCCGGCGGCTGCGGCGTTCGCGGCTGCCGCCGAATCGGTGCCGCCGCCTCATATGCATCAGGACCACATGTACAACTTCTTGGGTGAGGATGGTCATCTATACAGCTTTGTTTCAGCCAAGGACAATTCAATGCTGTAGATCCTGGACATACAGAAACTGTAGAGGCGAAAACAAGAGTTCCACCTTAGTTCTGTCCCTCAGGAAACGCTATAAAGTAGAAATCGATTACTTCGTACGATGAACATCTGATTTTCTTACTACCTGGCCCTTTCCTTAATAACTGCCGACCAGGTAGGCCATGTACCTACCAACATATTTTTGTTTAACTCGTTCCATCATTCGTGTTACTTTCATATAGCTTAGGCCCTATTGTTTTACTATTGTTTCTCTCTGACGTAAAGGATTCACAGAAATACAAATAGAATGAACGGAAGAACGCGCACCGTGGCTTTTTGCATCAAATGTACTGGGTGACCTACCTCCCATAGAAGTTTGATTCACCCATTCTGGGATACCTCGTATAGTTTGATGCGCGGCCATCTGTACATGAATTACTAATCTTCCTCCAAAACAACAGACGCTGGAGCGGACTACTACCTCCAGCACAAGAAGAAGACCGGCCGCAAGGAGATCCTACCTGAAGACTTAACGGAGAAGTTTGAAATGGGAGCCAACACCTTCTCCATAGAGCTGGGGGAACCCATCAAACTGCCATTGAGGTTGCCCGACGAACCGGCTGGGGTAAGTCCTGGACTCAGTCTCATCCTCACAGGTCCTATAATTAAACTTATCTAACTAAAACTACTACAGAAATGAGGAGATCCGTAAAAGAACTAAAGTCGCTGACATAGCCCGACGGATTAGCAAGCTGAAGTGGCAATGGGCAGGGCACATAGTACGCGGAACTGACGGCCGATGGGGCAGCAAGGTTCTGGAGTGGAGGCCGCGTACCGGAAAACGCAGCGTGAAACGTCCACCCACAAGGTGGACCGACGACATCATAATGGTAGCAGGAAAGCGCTGGACGCAGGCCGCTACGAACCGATCAACATGGAAAGCATTGGGGGAGGCCTATGTTCAGCAGTGGACGTCCTATGGCTGAGATGATGATGATGATGAACTAAAACTATATAAATTTAAAGGAGGGTGCTGAAGAAGAAACTGCTGAGAAAGATGAAACTGGAGAGGAATTGGAAGAAGAAGAAAAGGAAGAACCTATGAAGCGTAAGTTTTGTGACTTAAATAAGGTGTTCAATCATATCAAAGATATAGCAAACGGTTTCTAAAGATCTGTAAGAAGCGTACGGTTCTTGAGTTATTGGACCTAACTTACCCTACTTTGTTTTGTATGTTACGCTCAAAAACCGATTAAATTCCTTGAATGAGAAAACAGTTCATTATGTCGCGTTCTGATCACTTTAAACACTTCGTATCGCAACGCATTTGTGTTGTAGAATCTTCTGAAATCTGCCACGATAATGCGTTAAGGAAACGAAGAATCCATTACGCGTTCAGTTGAGCAAGCACTACAAAATTGGTGTAATCTAGCGATAGTTTTCCGTCGCTTTTTCGTCTTTTTCAAATATATTTGTACACAACAAATTTCTTCTTGCAGAGATAAAAGACGCGCTTTTCAAGATGTGGTATGACCAGAGCAAGCCAAGTCACGTGTCGCTACTAGTCGGGGACTACCACCAGATGGGAGTCTGGATGGCGGTCGGCGGGAAGGTGGTGGCCTTCGACCCTGCCCCCACACTGGTCAAGGGCATGCTGACGTCACAGAGGATTAAGAAGGGTGAGGAGTTCGTCATTTCTTTTTAAAATTTTTGGGTTTTTACAACTTACAGCTAGACATTTTTTGTACCGAGCTAATAAGGGACATTGACATTATGACAATGGCGAAAACCATTTTCGCGCAAACGTCTTTCGCGGTCATGTCTTTTCGCGCAAACGTCCGTTCGCGCCCACGTCTTTTCGCGCAAGTGTCCTAACGCGCAAATGTCTTTCGCGCTAGTGTCTTTTCGCGCTAGTGTCTTCGCGCTAATGTCTTTCGCGCTAGTGTCTTTTCGCGCTAGTGTCTTCGCGCTAATGTCTTTCGCGCTAGTGTCTTTTCGCGCTAGTGTCTTCGCGCTAATGTCTTTCGCGCTAATGTCTTTCGCGCTAGTGTCTTTTCGCGCTAGTGTCTTCGCGCTAATGTCTTTCGCGCTAGTGTCTTTTCGCGCTAGTGTCTTCGCGCTAATGTCTTTCGCGCTAGTGTCTTTTCGCGCTAGTGTCTTCGCGCTAATGTCTTTCGCGCTAGTGTCTTTCGCGCTCATGTCTTTCGCGCTAGTTTCTTTCGCGCTAATGTCTTTCGCGCTAATGTCTTTCGCGCTATGTCTTTCGCGCAAGTGTACCAGAGCAAGCCTCGCTACGTGTCTACTGGTCGGGGACTACCACCAGATGGGAGTCTGGATGGCGGTCGGCGGGAAGGTGGTGGCCTTCGACCCTGCCCCCACCCTGGTCAAGGGCATGCTGACGTCACAGAGGATTAAGAAGGGTGAGGGTTTGATCGTCATTTTAGACAATGACAAGAACTGTTGCGAAATGGTATCCCCGGGAAGGAAAAGGAATAAAGTTAGACAGGCCAAAGGATGGGAGCGTGATAACAGTGATACAGCAGGACCATTTTGTCTTTATTTTAACCGACTTCAAGGAGGAAGAGGTTGTCAATTCGGTTGGTATGTATTTTGTCAAATACTTTGTAATTTTGGGTAACTTACATAACAGCTGGAGATTCTAAACAAGCATAGGCGGTTTCCAAATTCAGTAAAATACAGTTGCAAATTTTGGAGAGAGGTGGAACGAATCCATTCTATCCAGGGAGCTTCACAAAGCACGATATTTTTTTTCCTCTAAAAACTGCCAGTTACTTATTTCTCTTCTTTACTATACCATCCCCGGACAGGAAAAAGGAATACAGGTAGAGGGATGTTGATTTCTGTGACCGTTACGGCCACAAATCGCTAGAAATTGATGCATGGAGGGAGGTCTTTGGTAGAGGCCTAAGTCCAAGGGCAAACTGGATATTGCACTTTAAAATGCAGTTAAATTGTAATATTTTTCAGTACTAAAGATATTATTGTTAGACAATGGCACCAGGGGGCTTAGTCTGAGTTTACATCAAACGTCTTCAAACTAGCGACTGCGTAAAAAAATGACATTAAATGTATGACGGATTGTACAGCGCCCCTAGCGGAAACTTTCATGAACTAAAATCTTCATTGATTTTTTTAACGCGCTCACTAGTGACGACGTTTGATGTTTTGTAAGTCATACTAAGCCCTCTTAGTACTGTAATTTGTGCAACACAATATTCTTCACAAAAACTTGTATAAATGTATTTTCTTCTTTCAGGTGACGAGATCCGTCTCCAGCGCATCAAGGATGAGATGGCTGGTGAAGGAGGCGGCGGCGGCGAGGAAGAAGGCGGGGAAGAAGCTGGCGCTGGTCTGTACTGCTCTGTTTTAGTCCTAGATCATCATCATCATCAATATCATCATCATTTCAGCCATAGGACGTCCACTGCTGAACATAGGCCTCCCCCAATGCTTTCCATGTTGATCGATTGGCAGCGGTCTGCGTCCAGCGCTTCCCTGCTACCTTCACGATGTCGTCGGTCCACCTTGTAGGTGGACGTCCCACGCTGCGTTTTCCGGTACGCGGCCTCCATTCCAGAACCTTTCTGCCCCATCGGCCGTCAGTTCTGCGTACTATGTGCCCTGCCCATTGCCACTTCAGCTTGCTAATCCGTCGGGCTATGTCAGCGACTTTGGTTCGTTTACGGATCTCCTCATTTCTGATTCGATCTCGCAAAGAAACACCAAGCATAGCCCTCTCCATAGCACGCTGTGCAACTTTGAGCTTCTGTATAAGGCCTATAGTGAGAGGCCACGTTTCCGAGCCATAAGTTATCACTGGTAACACACATTGGACGGATTAATCCGCCTTAAAAATGATGTCGGTAATAGTCTAATTGAGTATTATGTAAACTAACTAATAATGAATACAATGATTAGTATATTGATTATCATCTATCAAGCGTGGCATCATAATGATGGCTTTTGTATTTGACGTGGCGCTGAAAAGGTTAATGTCCGTGGTGCATATTTCTTCTTAAACGTTACTCATACTTTTGTTTTGTCTCCTGTCATCAGCTTTGCACTGGAGGGAAGTTGAACCTTAACTTCAAACTCCTCCTATGTTCTTCTGATTAATTTTGTTGCGGATCCAATGACAGTTTACTTTCCCCGGGACCAAAATTGTCTTTCACTGGTTGTGTTTTTATTCGAAGTCATGCTGCTAACGTTTTTTTTTCAGAGGGTGAAGAGAAACCAGAACCTGAGCCAGAATTCGTCCCGCCAGAATCCTGTCCTGCGCTAATGGTGTTTGCAAGCCCTGCGGAGTTCATTGACAAACTCAGTAAGTTCACTTTATTAGCTTTTCTTGGGGAAGATAGAATATGTTACAGAAGGAGTTTAAGCGTTAAATCTGGTCTACATATCCATGTATGAGCTTAAGTGTACACTTTAGCTATTGATTGATTTATTCCGCATACCAACGAGCGAATTTGTGACACATTTCGGCATTTCTGAGGCATGCCTACTAAGGCATCCAAGCATGCAGAAATGTGTCACCAATTTGCTCGTACGATCTTGCCTGTCCATCACATCCCCAGGGTTGCTTTGCCTAAGCATGTCGTGGCAATTTCACCGTGGTGTCCCCGTAATGCGAGTAGTCTCTAAGTTAAAGGGTTTAAAAACATTTCTAACTTCTACTTTCTCTAAAATCTGTCTGACTGTCAGTCTGCTCGTGACCACGGCTGCAGCATAGTAGCCGAAACGTCAAGCCGTGAGTACATAATGTAACTCATTAATAAACGTCTCGTTAAGACCCGTGTCATACTATTTTAACTAGTTGAAATGGAACGCGAAAGATTAAAATCTTATTCTACTTTTTCTCTCTCAGCTCTCCAAGGCGGTCTAGACAAGAAGCAGTGCCTTGCCCCGTACAAGCTCTACCCAGTGAAGGTGATCAACGAGCTGACATCTGTCATGAAGGAGAAGCGAACTCCCCCCGCTAAGGGGGAGGGGGATGAAGGCGCCGGTGACGAAGAGGGTAAGAATCTTGTGAAAACTTTGTTAAACACAGAAGAAAACTTTATTAAACACAGAAGAAAACTTTATTCTAAAGCCTGGTCCGTGAGCACGTAGAATCCCGTCCAATGACCCCAAGCTACCCATCCTTATCGCTCGCGCGTAATTATGTTGCTGTCGCGACTGTGCGACGGGCGCCCGCAGTGAGTGTGCGAGCGCGACAGCAACATAATTAAGCGCGAGCGATAGGGATGGGTAGCTTGGGGTCATTGGACGGGATTCTACGTACTCACGGACCTGGCTTTAGCAGTGAATAATAATAATGCATTAAAAAACTACACAGTATTGTCAATAGTTTTGGCGCGTTATGTGAATATTGCCTTTTAATTATGATAGCTAAACTTAATCGCATTACGATACGACAGTTCATTAAAAGGTTACCACGGTTACTAAAGTTACCAATAACAACCTGAACGAAAAGACCTGAAAGATTTTGACGATATTCATTTTAATTACCATTTTCTAATTTTGTTTAAAATCTGAGGGCTTAGTGTGAGTTTACATCAAACGTCGTCATTAGCAAGCACACTAAAAAAATATATGAAGATTTTAGTTCTTGAAACTTTCTGCTAGGGGTCCTGTACAATCCGTCATACATTTAATGTCACAGTCGACATCGAATGTGTTTGAAGTAAACTCACACTATAGATGACCCACGCTGAACTGTCCCACCAAACTCAATGACAGGGGGGCGCTACCATCGTTCAACTCTAAGGTTTTCCAACATGGTAAAAATCGGAACCAGCGATCCGGTATTGACGGTGGCACCCCACTGTCAATGTCATGGATAGGACAGTTCAGTATTTTGGAACTATACGCCCCCTGATTGATTCTCAAAGCTGTAAAAATTAATGTTAACCTTCCCAGTCGTTCGGATTCGATCCCTCGAGTGATATTTTTGACATATCCAGCCATATAAACAACTCTCACTAAATTAGTGATTTATCTACTGATTTATCTCCTAAAACCTCAACAGAAGCCGAAGTCCTAGTAGATCCTCTCGAAGACGAAGCTATAGGCAAGTACTTCACTCGCCTGGGACGCGCCACGGCGTCTCTACGAGGCAACGTGGCTCAGAACGAGAGCTACTTTATGGATATGCCCAATAGAAATAACCAGGTTCGTATTTAATTCTAATAACGTCTTTTCAGGCTAATTTTAATGTATTTTTTTAGAATAAAGACTGAAAACGATGCATTTTGGGATAAAATTACCGGTGCTCAGTAATTTATTTAAAATTATCCTGTAAATAAATTTTTGATTGTGTTATTTTATAAGCATATACATGGATGATATCGTTGCAACAATGAAGTATTCATAGATACATAATAGAATACGTCATACCCCCCGGTTTCTATCTAAATTGATACCACCATTTTATTTAATTCATTTAACTATTTAGTCTTTATTATCATAAAATTGGTACATAAGGCGAACTTAATGCCAGTGGGCCTTCTCTGCCAGTTAACCTTTGGGCCAAAAGCAGAAAAAAATAATTTGACAGTGAATTATAAGTGTTTTTCTACGATTTTTACAGGACGCAGCGAATTCAATAATGGGCATAGCGGTCGACCACATCGAGCCGTACATCTACTGGAAGCCAGAACTGATTGACGCGATCCTGAAGTATGGCGACCGATTGTACACGATGTCGCTGTCTAAAGCCTCTATACCGCCAAGATTGCAGCCTTATGAAGTGGAAAACCAGTTCCACGTCACTAGTTTTAACGTGAGTTGATTTGTGAACTTTTTGGGGGTTTAGAAGTTCTAGATGATAAGGAAATCATCTACTTTGTCATCTAGATTTGGTATTTTGGTCTCTGGGCTCTAAATACTAACGCAATAAATTAAATAACTACACGATGTTCAATGTAAGTGGATATAAATCTTTGAAATCTAGTTGATGAGTCAGTAGTTCTGGTTTCTGGAATTTTGATAAAATTCTTTATTCAGTTAACATAGTTGGTATGTCGACAGACTTAGGTAAGGTAGCTAGCAAGCCCTAACATCAACCAAACCGATCAAAAAATTTTGCTTCCTTAGGAAATCGAACCAGGGACCTCTGGGTCTAAGACAGATAGTGTTCCCAGAAGACCACCAGAGGCTATTTATTAAATACAATAAATAATAAAGTATAATATTATTATTTCAGGTAAAGACAGAGATAGAATCTAACGCGGTGATGGGTGACATCAAGGCAGGCGAGACTGGTGGCGTTTTGAACCTGAGGCGTGGTTTGAATAAGTTTTTTGAAACCGTTAGTACATTTACATGTTTCTTTTTGGGTTTGCTTGGTAAATAGTGAGATTGTTATGTAGGTATGTCAAGCTCTTTGGCATGAATGTATTGATAAACATTTACCAGTACCTAGCTTTGTATTTGTTTATGTGAAAAAAATGTAACGTTTTCCACTGGATTTTAATCCAAAAGCATCATGTTATACATAAATTTAGCGAAGGGAAGAGCATAGGAGGGTGGGATCAGCCTCTTTCTAGATAGTTACTTACTTGTTCCACCACTGACTAAAAAGGTAAAAATCTCACCATTTTCACCAGTCTTACGATACGAGTATACTCCAGTGACAAAACTATCGAACACACTCGCTTCTATCACCGACTCTAACAAATTTCTTAGCTCCCCTGACTCATTTATCATCAACGGTGGGACAAGTGCCTTATCGCGTATACAGGGTGTTTGGTTAATGGGTATATCAGCCGACACTAGCCCATGTTAACATGGGCATATAAATGGTATGGTGAAGTCAGAAAATGGATATCTTCATTTGTATTATTTTAATTTTCATACAAATCGGATTTTATAAAATTTATTATATACCCATTTACATAACACCCTGTATACTCTTCCTTCTTTCCTCCAGTAAAAACACTATATCACCTAGATACCGTCAGCGAAGGACCGGTTGCTTGTGCAGCAGTGGACGTCCATTAGCTGATAATGATGATGATTCTTTTTTTTATTCCTTCTCTCTAGTACAAACACGGAGTCCTCTGCGCCAAAGACTACTGCGTTGGGGTCTGGAAGGCGGCGGACGACAAGTCCTTCTGCTTATGGGACCCGCACTCTGTGGGGCCCAATGGACGGACGTCCCCCGGTGGCGCGGCGGCCATAGTTCTGTTTTCAACTGTTGAAGAGTTGGCTGAAACGTTTAAAGCTAATGTGGAGGGACTGGGCAGAGCTGGCTCTAACAAGTAAGTAGATTCTTCTTCTTTGTCTATTAGTCAAAGTCAAAGTCAAAATTTCTTTATTTGTTTAGACTAAATAGTTCTTACAAATCGACATTTTGCTCTTAAGGAGCCTCTACATGTCTCATAATCTTTTTACCCTACCAGCTACTATTGGTTATCTTTTTCTACTATCAATTCGATAGACCGCTTATTCGTGCGAATTTTGTTATTTAACTTTTAAAGTAAACACTCCACTAAGAGAAACGTTACGGTGGTCGTAAACATTATTATTATTATAGGTTTTCTCGAGTGTTCTTCTTGTAGATAGGTATCCTTCTATGTAGGTATTCCCCTAATGTGCTTAATGGCTTATAAATGACTTATAAAAAGATTTAACCATAAAACGAATGTTTTATCATTGAATTTGGCTTTCAAAGAGCCCTGTTACACGTCTCAATATTCTCGATTAATTTTTGCTCTACCACTGCTTAGGCCCGATTCGACCAAACTTTTATCCGAGAATAACTCCGGTATAAGTGGCACATTGACAGTTTTAGTATGGAAAAAATGACAAAATGTCGAATAACTGACGATTTATTCTTATTTGGTCGAATCCACCCATTAAGGACAATGATTTGAGTTACTGCTGAAGAGAAGCAGCACAAGAAACTGAGCCAATAACAGCTTAATTCGCTGTCGTTTTTACCTACGCTAGCACCAATTTGTAACTGGTCTTTATTTACATCACTTAGGTAACTTAGGGAAAAATTATTAAAATAGAATACAATGGAACTTCTCTGCTATCGTCATTCAGGTACGGCATAACAGCAGTCAAGGTGTTCTGGGAGATATCCAAACTTCCCGGCGCGGTGACTCCTCAAGGAGCCGTCCCTGATGAAGGATATGAGTGGAAGGTCCTCACTGCTTACGTGGAGACGGCGCGAGGGAGGACCATACTGAGAGGGACACGCCCTCCTGATCTTGTCAAGTAAGACTATGATGATGTTGATCAATGTAGGATGTAGAATTTTTCGAATTGGGGGATGCAAATACCAATATTAATGAGTGACTTACTCACTGAGAACTATTTATTTTTCAAATCGGATATTGGCCACACAGGCGATCTCACATCAGATAGTTAAGACTAAACTAAAGTTGATGTAACTAAATAAATAAACCACAGAAATTCTTCTTCTTATTTTGATGTTGGCAATACACGTCGAGGCCGACTTGATTTGTGCCATTTTCAAGTTTCAAGTGAGACGAATTATAAATGGGGCCAAGTGGAATGGGTCTTGGGTTAATTAAATGATGTAAATGAAGAATGATAGATGATACCCCTTCCCTTCCAACCCTTTCATCAAAAACCATAATGTGTAGGTACACAATTTTAGAGACAAAAGTTACATTACACAATTTTTAGTTAAGGTGCAGTCAGTGTAAAATGTTAATGACCCAAAGTAGTAAAAAGGTTCACAACACATCTTTGTTACCCACCTTTTATTGGATTTATTGTCAACGTTTTGACCACTTGGTGTCACAAACTATTTGACGCTGTTCCAATTTCTTGTATTATCTATTACCAGGTTCACCCGTGACGCGCTACTGCAGTCGTCGTGCGGCGCGATCGTGGCCGCGTGCATGTCGCACGTGCGTCGGCCGCACCTGTGGACCAGAAACACCGTCGACGAGGTGATGGGATTGTTTTAACGCACTCACATAACGCCTGGATGAATAGTCGTCATTCAGGCGCTTCGTCTAAAGTACTTAGTGTGGCAAAATCATTGTCATCCAATATCATCTTACTTAGTATGTTTTCACGATGTTATTTTAGCTACGTTTCCACTAGTGTTAGACTACGACAACTATTAGAGCGTATACCTATGGATAATCTGAGGCAATGGTTTAATTTGAAGTAAGTACCTCAGTTTTCTTGCGCTTATGGGTTTTTAGGCGTTGTGATTCTATGCACAGCGCGTTTTGAATAATTCGAATCTTAACTTTGTATTTGATATTGTTGCCACCAGCGGCCATAGGCGACTTTCTTGTTTTTCTATTCTTGTTCTTTCATTACAACGCAACAGTCAATACAGTGGCGTGGACGTCACCCCCTGATGCTTGGCACCCGGTTACGCCGCTACTGAGTCAATAGATTTGCAAATTAATTCAAATAGTAAGTTACAGATAATTGAAGGTATCCCCTTTTAAAACCCTCCAGGTGATGGCAGTGGCTTGTCAGTTGTTCTCCGCTTCGCTCGGCTCGCTTGGTTACGAGTTCCGTCCTGGAGAAGACGTTTTACTACCGCTTCAGGTTTGATTTTGTTTCTCTATTAATATGAGCATTACTTTTAGATTATATTTCAATATCATTCACGCAAAAACTACTGAACGGATTTTGTTGAAACTTTACAGTATTATTGTTTATAACCCAGATTAACATACAGGCTATAATTTATGACGATATGTGACAAACTAAATTTCAATAAATAAATAAGATGTGGGTAAAAAGCGCCATCTATCGTCATTGGTTAAAATCTACAGCCAAAAAATTTTGACGTTAGTAAATATTCATGCGGGGAAGCCGTTAAACGATCTATCAACATCATTAGTAATTAAACGAGGTCCACGCCACAATCCACGCGTACAAAGTCGCGGGCGGCCGCTAGATATAAACACGTTGAAATAAAAACCGAAATGAAGCGTATTACACTTGAAAATTTCGACGGGTTCATCCAGTGTCTAAGTAGCTCAGATGGAAGAGCATTCGTCCGGCAAGCGAAGGGTTGTGGGTTCGATTCCCGCCTTAAGTAGAATATTCTTCCTCCTTCAGCATTTTTTAAAGTTATTTACAAGCTGAATGTCAGCCGATGGCTAGGTCGTGCCGTTAATGAGTATATGAACATACTTAATTATAATTATGACAGTGACCACATTACACCGATTTATAGATGACCCACGCTGAACTGTCCCGCCAAACTCAATGACAGGGGGGCGCTAGCATCGTTCAACTATATGGTTTCCAACATGGCAAAAATCGGAACCAGCGATTCGGTATTGACGGTGGCGCCCCGCTGTCAATGTCATCGATAGGACAGTTCAATATTTTGGAACTATAGTATCGGCCGATTCCTCATACAAATTGAGATGATAAACTATTGTGTAAAATAATTTCAGGTGCTAAAACGCTTCGTTCTCGGCGTGAACTACGTTCGATACGACTTGGAGCAGGTGTTCTCGGGCAAGTTGGAGCAGAAGGAGCCTACTGCTTTGACCGTGAGGTAGTGATACCATCATCATCATCGTCTTCATCGTTAACATCAACTTCGTCGACTTTATAGTCGTCACCATCGTCAACGTCAACTTCCCCATAAAAATCAACGTTAATTTCAACCTTATGGTCATCATCATGGTCAACGTTATCTTCATCTTTAACGATAACGTCAACGTCTGTTAACATTATGGTCATCATCATGGTCATCATTATGGCCATCGTCAACGTCATTGTCATGATCAACGTCAACATTATGGTCATCATCATCGTCATTCTGCAATGTTGAGTCCGTTTGTTTTTCTCTATGTATTTTCATGCTTTCTATTTCATTATCATCATCATCATCGTCTCCACTGTTACAGTATTTATTTACTTCTCTATCACATCAGATGTGCGCTAGAGCGGTTCTTCGAGGCGCATACCCACGGTATCTTATGGTCAGTGCCGCACGCGGTGGCCGTATGGCGAGTGGCCGGCTCGCCCGCGTATTACATGATGGAGCCACACGCTTGCGGCCCTACGGGTCTAAGGATCGATGCTCAGGTATCACTCACTTACCCATTTATGCTGGATTTCTATATTCAATCCCAATCCAAATCTGTCTGTCAATTGTCAAATTTCAATATGTTTTTAGTCAAAATATCTGCGGTTTTCGATGGTTTTACATTTTCATACTGTTTATAAGACTATTTATAAGGCCCGGTTTTTTGATTCGTAGTTAAAATAACCAATGGTCAAATTTGACAGATGTCAAATGACAAGTGGTTAAATATCAGAAAAAAATGTTTTTCGAACAACGGTTAGCTTGACTTTTAGTACATTTTTTAACTATTAGTTAACATTTTGTTAATATTTAACCATTAGTAGCAAAATATAACAATTTGTTATTTTAACTATGAATCAAAAAACCGGGCCTTAAACAATATTAAAGTGTAAATGCATCGAATATTTTTAATATTTCAAAAACTGAATTCAATTTGACAGTTGTAATCATGATTTGGACAAGGATTGAATATGGGAAACGGGCGTCAATCATTCATTTACTAACTTAAACCGAGTGAGCGAGCACTGGATCACTTACTCACAAACTGACTCAATCACTCACTCAACTTACTCACTCAATCACTCACCTCTTACTCACTCACTTACTAAATTACTCAACTCACTTAATCACTCGCCCACTTAAGGCTTGGTATTTCTTCTAAAGTAGGTATTTCGCGCTGTCAAAATCTGCGCGCGCAATTCTTCGCCGAAAACAGCGCGTCAAAGAGCTCCCGCCACAATTTCCAGCTACACAGTATAGAAATACGCAGTTGGTTAGGTTAGGTTGACTTCCTTGCCTTCAAGCGTTACACTCACAACACTTTCTAATAGAAATCATATCCAAGTGATACAAATTAAAACACCTTTCAGACTTTTTGGGAATATATTCTAGAATCGAATAAATATAAAATATAACTGCAGAAGTAAACACGGTTCAAAGTGGCCGTGGCGTCGCCCGACCTTCTGGAAGTTCTGCGCCGGCTTAAAGAATTTCAAGATTACGTCACCCGACCTATCGGTAGGCCCTTGGGAGCTTGAGCGATTGGAATTTTTTTTTATGATAAGTTACTCTTAGTAGCGATTATTTAGAGCTTGGATAATAAATTTAATTATAGTTGTTGCAATTCACGAAGCTTTGCATGTGGTTAATAACATTAATCAGTATAGGTACGCATCAATTTTGTTCAGTCTCTTTGTTTATTAATAAATAAAAATATCATACTAAAATTGCAGAAACATATTTGTTTGTATTGGTCTGGGTGTTTTCTTTCTATAATATGTATGACGTATGTACGGGGTTCTGTACCTATCGAAAATTGCTATAAGCATCACACGCGGTTACCTGCGTACCTCTGTGCACTCATGGGAGTTTAAGCAGAGGTCCCTAGAGTTTGACTTTGAGCTTTGTTTATAGTCATTACGAAGCAGACTGATGGGAAACTGCACTGTCTTGAATTCGAAAGGGTAATTTGACGGTGTTTGGGGAATTCTAGGAATAAATACAGAGTCTCCTCATTGAGATTGAGACATTTCAATTTGAGATTTCACTTGACATTGAACACAATCTGAAATGGAGTTTTCAAACACTTGTAAAAATAAAAAGTAATTAAATCAAAGGCACTAAGTAGTATTGATATCAACTTCGAAGAAAATGACTGCCAAAATTACTTTCTACCCGTTCCACACGTCTTTCATGAATTATATTAAGGTATTGTTAAACTAAATTTCAAGTAGATTGAACCAAGGAATCACTTTGTCCCATACAAACTTTGCCCCCTTTTTTCACCCCCTTCATTTCATGACCCCATTTCGGAAAATCTTTTCTTATGAGATGCCTACGTCATAAAAAGAACACACCTTCCAACTTTCAGGTCTCTACGATATCCGTCAGTCATTTAGGACAAAGCATTTTTATTAGTTGTTCAAAACTCTATCGTTCCAGGTATGTCATTGACAGGAGGGCGCTACTATCTTAATGGGTTATTCATTAGTCCACTTGACATTTCAGAATCGTTTGACTTTAGATACCTAAGCGATTTGATATTCGGAGTCTTTTAATGAAATCAAGTTCTGAAATAACTTGAGGTGTTGTACCCGATCAAGCTTTTCATTGCAGGACAGTTAAATAGTTTTATTATTAGTTTCTTCTCTAAGTCTTAATTTGTCAGAGTAGGTAAAGGCTCCATGAGAGCAAAATTTAGCTTTATAATAGTTTTTAATTTTTTTCTTGAAATATTTGACGCCTTGTAATCTCTTGTAATCTCTCGTTAATATAGGTCCACACAAATAAAGAATGTTTGACTTCGACTTTAATAATTATGCTCTTACATAATTATAAATAAACTAGCTTTCCGCCCGCCGCTTCGCCCGCGTGGAATTTTTTGGTTTTTATATAACCTATTACACTCAGATATAATGTGGCTTTCTATTGATGAAAGATTTTTTAAAATCAGTTCAGTAGATCCCGAGATTACCCCTTACAATTTAACAAATATACAAACACACAAACTTTACCTCTTTATAATATTAGATTATATATAGGTAATTTGAAACCCTATTTTGTTTTATTATTTTTTTATTTTAAATATTTCACGATCCAAACTAATATTTACTGTAAGTAAATGCTAAATAGTAAATATTAGTTTGGATTGTGAAATATCCTACTAATATTATAAAAGCGAAAGTTTGGATGTCTGGATGTCATGATGTCTGGATGTTTGTTACTCTTTCACGCAAAAACTACTGAACGGATTTTGTTGAAACTTTACAGTATTATTGTTCTGCCGCACAATTTATAAACGCAGTAAGTACCACTTACTGCATTTATGATTGTTTTGAATATTCTGAATCCTGACATCGCGATCTATAAGAATCAAAGACCCGTTTTTTTCTATCTTATCTTAGAACGGAAGATACATGTTATCATAAACGCAGTAAAGAGCAGATTGTAGGTTTCTTCACATACTATGTTAGCAGTAAGAGCACATAATTACTTAATATTACGTGAATACTCGCGCTTACTTAATTTGCTACACAGTAATAGTGNGATTAGAAAACGAATAGAGGTAACTTTGGGAATTTATTCTATCGAGTCAACTTCATCAAATCGTGTTTCCATCCGTTAATAGCCCTAGAAAATATCCTCAACTATGCCCAAAAAAAATCTTAGCCTTTTATTTTACTGTTTAGTACCTCAAAAATGAAAAATGAATACCTCATTTTCGCCATTTTCTCTGTTACCCGGCCTTAATGGCTCACTCACTCAAGATTGTTTTCACTTTTTTAGGATGATGGAGCCGCTTGCGTGTTGACTTTCACTTCGCCGAAATTGATGGCTTTCGCGTAAGTTCTTCAACAAGATATTCTAAATATATCATCATCATTTCAGCCACAGGACGTCCACTGCTGAACATAGGCCTCCCCCAATGATTGCCAGATTGATTTTGTAGCGGCCTGCGTCCAACGCCTCCCTGCTAGGTACCTTTATGAGGTCGTGGGTCCACCTTGTGGTTGAACATCCTACGCTGTACTCGCCAGTACGGGTACTCCAGAACCTTGCTGCTCCATTGGCCGTCAGTTCTGTGGACAGATGACCTCACAAAGGTAGCAGGAAGGCGCTGGATTCATGCCACTATTAACCGATCAATTGTTAAATCATTGGATGTTCAGCAGTAGACGTCCTGTGGCTGAAACGATGATGATGACTTTAACTTTTTGTTTTGTCACCTGTCGTCCTCTTTGCATTGGATGGAAGACGAACCTTAGCTTCGAACTCCTGTTTTTTTTCCAATAAGTAACTGGTTGGGTTTTTATTCACGGTCAAGCTAGATCCTGGCTACACAGGAGATGCAGCGGTGGGAACGAGAAGTAGAAATAGTCCCGTATGAACAGGCTAATGTAAAAATCATTGGGGGAGGCCTATGTTTAGCAGTGGACGTCCTATGGCTGATGAAATGATGATACCTACAGTTCTTAATCTATAACCTTGTTCCAGCTACCTCCAAAACGTGCCAGTAACAGAGCGTCCCAAGCACGAATTCCAGCTATACGCCATGTCGGTGGTCGTCCAGCCCATCAAGAAGTTGGGAGGAGTAGACCCGCCGCTGGTGCGAGCACCGCCGGGAGTCAAACTGGTGCCCGCTACGAGCAAGGTATGGTTTAGTAACTACTATTCGTTGCGGGTCCAATGACAGTCTAACTTTCCCCCGGGACAAAGTTAACCTTCACTGATTGGGTTATTGGCGGTCAAGCTGTAGATCCTGGACACACAGGAGTTGCAGCGGTGGGAACGAGAGGTGGGAATAATCCCGTACTATTATTTACAGCTCACTATAAGCCTTATGAAGATGCTAAGGTTAAGAACTCACGGCGCGATTTTCACCCGCTCGCGGTGGTTGCGGGCCTGCAGTTTCTGTAGAATGTAGATATACTTATGTAAAAATGAATGTAACCAATCGCAGCCTTTGCGGATTTCGCCCACGCGCTCTACGATCGATTGGCGGGCGACCATTTTGTACCAGTGACTTAACTGCCCGTCTCGCAACCGCCCTGTCTTGCGATTATCACGCGCAACGTTTGTAATAATTTTACGAATCCCTTATCAAAAATTTGCAATCTGTCAGTAATAATTGAGGCTATCAGCGCAAAAGTGGTGTAACCCACAGTTTTTTAGGGTGGCTTACGTCACTTTTGCATTGAAAGATTACATTGTAACGAATGTATTTTACACTAAAAAACCGTACTAAAAAAACTGTGGGTTACATCAGTTTTGCGCTGATAGCCTCAATTATCGTCATAATTTCTCTGCTACTACAAAGCCCATCGTTCCCACAGGTGGGCATAGACGGCAGCAAGCGGCGCGCGTCCGAACGCGACCGCAAGCATCCGCCCGGCAGCGCGACCTGTCTCGACGCACAGCGCGCAGCTGAGAAACTGGATAAAGAGCAGAATAAGCTCAAAGGTATGTTTAATAGACTATTTAGTAATAATTGGCTAAAAGATTACGTACTTGGCGAAAAGATTACGTACTTGGCGAAAAGATTCTGAGCTTGGCCAAAAGATTCTGTACTTGGGTAAAAGATTCTATGTATACTTGGCTGAAAGGTATAACGCTGCTTGGTTTGAAAGTTCGGATCTTAGCTAAAAGATTTTTCGTTTGGCTGAAAGATTGAGCACTTGGCTAAAAGATACTGCGCTAGGTTAAAAGATTCTGCACTTGGCGAAAAGATTCTGAGCTTAGCTAAAAGATTATGCACTTGGCTGAAAGATTCTTGACTTGGCTAAAAGATTGTATGAAAGGTTCAGAATTTGACTAAAAGATGTTGCGCTTGGCTGAAAGATTCTGAGCTTGGTTGAAAAGTTCTGCACTTGGCTGAAAGGCTTAAGTTATAAGATTCGAATAAAGCGGCGCGCGTCTGAACGCGTTACGTGACCGCAAGCATCCGCCCGGCAGCGCGACCTGTCTCGACGCACAGCGCGCAGCTGAGAAACTGGATAAAGAGCAGAATAAGCTCAAAGGTATGTTTAAGGCCTCAGCCTCGATCTTAGCGGGCAGCGGGGCGGCGGCGGCGGCGGCTGCGGCGCGGGAGCGGCAGGATCTTATGCGTAAAATCAAATAGACCGGTTCTTGAAAACAGCGGCGCGGGAGCGGGCAACGAGCGGGCAGCGCACTCCTTCTTTTGCCCACAATAAATCGAGCGTTAGGAATAAATTTGAATCGAAATAAAATTGTCGCCGTTGTTCAGACATTTCGTTTGCGAATAAAAACAAATATCTCGACAACACAACCCCGAACACAACACTTCGCCGCTAAAGCGCCGCGCGAGCTGCCCGCTTGTTTCGAGAACGGGTCTGCGTTGCCCGCCCCGCTCCAGCGCCGCCGCCGCTCCCGCCCCGCTGCCCGCTAAGTTCGAGGCTGAGGCCTAATAGACTAATTTAGTAATAATTGGCTAAAAGATTACGTACTTGGCGAAAAGATTACGTACTTGGCGAAAAGATTCTGAGCTTGGCCAAAAGATTCTGTACTTGGGTAAAAGATTCTATGTATACTTGGCTGAAAGGTATAACGCTGCTTGGTTTGAAAGTTCGGATCTTGGCTAAAAGATTTTTCGTTTGGCTGAAAGATTGAGCACTTGGCTAAAAGATACTGCGCTAGGTTGAAAGATTCTGCACTTGGCGAAAAGATTCTGAGCTTGGTTAAAAGATGCAACACTTGGCTGAAAGGTATAGCGCTGCTTGGTTGATGTTTCTGCACTTGGTTGAAAGATTCTGAGCTTGATTTAAAAGATTCGGCACTTTGCTATTATTTTGTGCTTGGTTAAAAGATTCTACAGTTCGATATTGTTTTTTGCTTGACAGAAATTGCTGTTATTGTCAGAATTTCGAAATAAAGCACTTATTTCGAAATTCTATGAAGCCTCTTTTAATTTAACTTTTAATATCCAGAATTTTACTTTTAAATGTTTGACGAACGTCATCTATGACTTTTTTAATGTTCTATGAAAAATTTTAGCCTAAATTGAAAAATGTAATTTTAGCAATTTGATTATAATTCTCATAAACATGGCATCCACATCCAAAGATACAGGTTTGTTCAATACCAAATTTGTCTACGAATATTCGCATTGTTTTTTAAGCTCATGTCTAATATTGTGTTTTGTAAGGGAGTCCTTTCCCTCTAAAAAAAGCCTAGTTGTAAAATTATTGAAGTTCTTAGCAATTACACGAGACGGAGCTATGTTAAAAAAAAATTAGAGTAGAAGGGTGCATCATGCCCAGTGGGAAAAAAGGTAAAAACTCAGTAAAACTCATTTATTTCATTTAGGCTTTAAAAAAGCACTTTTACACGTCCCAGTATTAACCATACACTGCTTCAGGACAATAAATGGGCCAGTGCTGAGAAGAAGCAGCGCAAGAAACTCAGACACTATTGTCTTCCGAAAGGCCTCCGAATGCATAGAAATCTATGTTGTCTTTGGTCCAGGGCAACGCAACACGAGCGGCTGGCTGGTGCTCAACGACGGTACTCAGTTCCTGTCTGCTCAACACTCGATGGCCTGCCGAAAGTTCCCGTACGCGTCCCGTGGGAACCAGGTAAATCCTATACTAATATTACAAAGGCGAAAGTTTGGATGTCTGGATGTTTGTTACTCACACGCAAAAACTACTGAACGAATTTTGTTGAAACCTTACAGTATTATTGTTTACTAGCTTTTGCCCGCGGTTTCACCCGCGTGAAATTTAGTATGTCACAGATCGTCATAAATTATAGCCTATATGTTAATCTGGGTTATAAACAGTAATACTGTAAAGTTTCAACAAAATCCGTTCAGTAGTTTTTGCGTGAAAGAGTAACAAACATCCAGACATCCAGACATCCAGACATCCAAACATCATCATGACATCCAAACTTTCGCATTTATAATATTAGTAGGATAACCCAGATTAACATAATAGGCTATAATTTATGACGATATATTGTGACAAACTAAATTTCAATAAATAAATAAAACGTTGGGAAAAAGCGCCATCTATCGTCATTGGTTAAAATGTACAGCGCTGAACAAAAAATTTAGACGTTCATAAATAAATTATTCATGCCGTGAAACGCCATCTATCAACATCATTAGTAATTAAACGAGGTTCACGCGTACGAAGTCGCGGGCGGCCGCTAGTGAAGAATAATTTATTTAGATCATCAAAAAGATTACACTACGATCATCTCCACTTCACCTTCCTTCAATCACCTTATCAGTTTTTTTTATTTATAAAGAAAATTAAAGCTATTTTTCATCCTCCAAAGTAATTTTTCATCCCCCAAGGCTATTTTCCGTTCTCCAAATCAATTTTTCACTCTCCAATCCCAGTTATCATTTCCCCAAGGATGTATTTCATACCTAAGGAACTACCTACCTACCTACCTACTACCCTTTTTGTTGAGACCTACTACCCTTTTTGTTGAGACCTACTACCCTTTTTGTTGGAACTTATGTATCATTGCGAAGTGAATAAATGAATATGAATATGAATAATTTCCTCATTTATAGGCCATTTTCATCCTCCAAGGTCACTTTTCAATCATAAAAACGCATATTGAATCCTACAGTCACTTTTGTGCTCCAAGGCAATTCCCCACGGCTGGTTTTCATCTTCCAGGGCCACTTTTCATCCTCCGAGAACATTTTTCATCCGCATTTACTTACAATTTGAACTTTTCCAGGCGCTACCATGCGCTGTGATGGCGGTGGCGATGTCTCGCGTGGAGGACGTCTGCCGCTGGTGCTCGTCTACCCTCGACCAGATTCTGGAGAGCGGGGACCAGCTCTACCAGGACAGCTACTTGCATTACAAGCCTTCGTCCAAGATACTGTCCATACAACAGGTAATAAATCATTCCCATAAGTCTAAAAGTTCTGGTTCATATCCGGCTCGAAGGACCATGAAGCGCTTATCAACATCAGGGGGCATAGTGTAGGTAAGTTAACGTCAAACGCATTCGATGTCGACTGCGTATAAGTGACATTAAATGAATGACGGATTGTCCAGCGCCCCTAGCGGAAATTTTAAGAACTAAAATCTTCGTATTTTTTTTTGACGTGCTCGCTCAAGTGACTACGTTTGGTGTAAACTCACACTAAGCCCTCTGTACCGCGAGTTTTAGTCCTAACTTGAATATTCTATCAACTTCATTAGGCTTTACGTGACCCTAAAAATGTGTTTTCCGTTTCCCAGATCCTGCGCAAATTCTATACCCCAGGCAACTGCGTGTGCCGTGTGGTGGTATTCAAGGCGCGGCAACAAGGAGTCGTCGATATGGACTTGTTGACACAGGTACCTAAAGATGTCCACACAACATTAGGTCATTTAGGCTGGAAACGGAAAACGCAGCGTGGGACGTCCACCCAGAAGGTGGACCGACGACATCATAAAGGTAGCAGGAAGGCGCTGGACGCAGGCCGCTACCAACCGGGCAACATGGAAAGCATTGGGGAGGCCTATGTTCAGCAGTGGACGTCCTATGGCTGAGATGATGATGATGATGATTCACAATAACAGGTGCTTTTCGTATGGAGTTTTACAGATTTTTGACCATTATCAAACTTAGTGTCCGTGACTCTCACTCGGCATGGGGCACACTGAAAACCAGCGTTGTGGCCTCCCTCACCGGGGGCCACGGCATATGCTGAGTGGGGTCCCATTGCGATGGGCATCACTGCGACAGGGTGGCACTGCTTAGTTTACCTGCTCATTCATTGTATGTTTTATGTCACCTCTGTCTCATTTGCTTTTTTTTTCTATTTTACCTCTTTTGTCTTTTGTGATGTCCATGGCAATAAATGTTTCTTTCTTTCTTTCTTTCTTTCCAAAGTAAGATGGTGCAATTCAGCCTTATGCCCATATTCACAAACATTACTATGAGGTCTCGCAGTGCGCGTGGACGCACAGGGCGACACACGAACCAATCGCAGAGCTCTATTCAACGCTGTGCGTTCGATTTGCTGCTTCACTTAAGCAAGCATCGTTTGTGAATGCGGGCGTGCTTTCACTCCAGGAGTACGACCCTCTTTAGCAGAGGCAAATGAAAGATTTGGTCTACACTCCCCACGCTGACCAGACGACTTATGCCCGATTTCAGCATCAATCCCTAATTTTTAGGTGACCCCTATGAAAACAAAATTCCTTTTGTGTTACCTAATTTTTAAGTGAACCCTATGAAAACAAAATGCCTGTTATGTATTGCCTAATTTTTAAGGGACCCCTATGAAAACAAAATTCCTATTGTGTTACCTAATTTTTAAGTGAACCCTATGAAAACAAAATTCCTATTGTGTTACCTAATTTTTAAGTGAACCCTATGAAAACAAAATGCCTGTTATGTATTGCCTAATTTTTAAGTGAACCCTATGAAAACAAAATGCCTGTTATGTATTGCCTAATTTTTAAGTTTTTTTTAATATTGTGTTTTTATACGAGGTCTGTCTGCTTTTTGCTTTGGCGATCTGTCGACATATTCTCTCCTTTGTTTTTTTGTGAAGTTTCGTGATCAATAACCGATTGATTTGTGTTGACCCGTGCTAGTAATTGGACTGTTTGATTGCCTTTTTATTGACCTCCGCTCGATTACTGAACCATGCCTCTCAAAATAATTCTTATATTTACTTACAAACTTATCTATACATTGTTAACTGTTTAAGTGTTATTTAGTTTGAAGTTTAATTGTTATAGATTTAAGACCTTGTGTAAAGACACTTAATGTGCAATAAAAAATTGAATTTGAAATAAAACTAACTTAATATTATAATATTTACGATAACCAATTACCTGGATCATTGCTACCTAGTGCAATATTTATATTAAATTTTAATAACGTAGATAAGTGTTTCTTTAAAACGGAAAACAAAATATGCATTAAAAATAAATAGAAACCTATTATAAGTTTTTATTAACATTCAAGGATTTAAGAAAGTTATAGCCAGATCTTACAATAATTGTTTTTAAGCCACAAATATTCCTTAACTCTTTACTAATTAATTCAATAACATATTGTTTTAAATTATTAGTTCCGAATAAATTAAATACCTATTAAATAAGTAAAATTCGAAAGTAATTGTATGATTTTGTATTTCTCGCCCTAACTAGCTAAACTAATATCATGAGATTTACACTCATAATATCAACAATAATTGTAGAAAGGGCTACTTTTTTCTCGGGAAATTGCATAGTTACCTCGGAATGTGCGATAGCAATTTTGTGACCCGAGCGGGCAATCGCTAGTTCAAATTTTACACGAAGCCTCATATAATATTTTGTAGCGATTCTTAATTGGGTTTCAAATTGACTAAAATGCGACGTTGCCAAACGAGCGCTACGGATGCGGGTAATAAGCAATACTCAATCCTAAATGCTTTACATAGAGCTTGGTTTGCTAGGGCAAACATCTACAGTGGTGCGCCGACGCTGCTTAGACTCGAAACATGAATGAACGGGGGCGGAGCAAAATCGAGCGTGTGTGTGCAAACAATTTAGGCCCTTAAGGTGTCAAGGCGTTCGAGTCCCCGATAGTACTATCAATATACAAGCCCAAGAACTTTGTCGAATGTATTACGTCAAGTCGTTTACCACAATATGTTACATTGAGATTATCTGCATCGTTATCATGTTGTCTAAAATTCATAATTACAGTTTTATCTAAATTTATTCGAAGATTATTATTCCTCAGCCATTCATTAATAGATGTCAAGGTTTCATTTATGTCATTCTCTAAATATGTCCAATTATTATTACTCAAAAGAATAGTACTGTCATCTGCAAATAATGTCATGTTGTGTTTCGTTACGGAAGGTAAGTCGTTAATATATAATAAGAATAGTAAGGGGCCAAGCACACTACCTTGCGGCACACCGTGCTTTATATACCTAAGCTCTGACTGATATACAACTTCAGTTTTGGTTTTCGTGTTAATTCTCTCGACCCTCGTTGCTTGTTGTCGATCACTTAAATAAGACTTTATTAAGCCATGCATATTACCCCTAATACCATAACAATATAGCTTATTCAACAATATTTTGTGATCGACATAATCAAATGCTTTGGATAAGTGCTATGTTCAAAGCACAAATTCAAAATGAAGCTCAATACTGGTGAAATAATGGCACATGTATCTTTAACTGTAGACGTGATGATATCATCATAGCCAGCACTATTAGTATTTTTTAAAGATAATATAATATTTTGAATGTCAATAGGTATTGTAGGATTTAAGAAAATTGTATTAAAATTATGATTAACCTGGATATTATTTACATTGTAAATATTAATATCAGTCTTAACTTCGTCAACAAAATAATCATTAAATTCGTTAGCGATTTCTTGAGGGTCAGTAATAAGTTTGTCTTTTAGATTGATTTTATCTATGCTTTGTTTGGGGTATTTCGCTTTTACTTTTTTTATTACTTCCCAGGTCGCTTTGCACTTATTTAAAGAATTCTTTACATAGTAGTCATTCTGAGACTTTTGAGTCAGTTTTACTACAGATTTGTATCGCTTTGCATAGGTTTGGAAGGCTGTTTTATTTTTGATGTTCGGAGCGCGTCTATATTGCCAAAGTAGATCCCTTTTCCGTTTACTACAAATGCGGATACCACGACTTAGCCATTTTGGTCTCGTAGTAGTTTGAATCTTAATTTTTACTATGGGGAAGCATAAATCGTAAATTAGTTTGAAATCCTCGAGAAAGCTGTTAAATGCCACGTCGGGATCACTAGTACTAAAAGCATCAGAAAAACTGAGTTTACTCAAATGTTTGATAAAGCCTTTTCTATTTTCAATAGAAAAGTCGCGTTTATACACATACCAATATTTTAAGGAACAACTTTTTTTGATCGGACACTTGAGCAACTGTGCAGAATGATCGGATAAAGCAAGTTCAATTATCGTGCCTGTAGATCCTCTTATATTATGAGCCACATTATCGATACAGGATTTACTAGCTACACGAGTAGGTTGCTTAAATCTGGGGGCACGGCAGTGCCCCCGCCAAGTCGAGCGCGAAGCAAACACTGCCGTACCATCCTTTACTGAAACCATTTCGCCGCATTTTCAGGTCTCTATTTGAGAACCTTTGGATAAGACCAGAACGCAGAAATTTTCGTCATCTAGTAAGCTATAATCACATACTTAAAATCCAAAATTTCAAGTCTGTAGGTCATTTAGTTCCGAAGTTAAGCGAAAGCAAAGTTTCGCATTTATGACACTCACTCACTCACTGATGATCATCAAAATAGAAGTAGTACTTCCCATTAACTCAGAGAGCTGAAATTTGGTACAGGGTTAGGGTTTAATGGCCACATAAAGGGAAAACTATAAAAACTAGGAAAATCGAAGATCTGGAGTAACACCACATTCATAATCAATACTACTAGCGCCACACCGGCACCGTGGTGTTCGCCTGTACTGCTCACCGCTAGATGGCGCTAGCACTTTGAGCGTCGATTTTCTGCACCGCGGTGTCNCGTAAATTAGTTTGAAATCCTCGAGAAAGCTGTCAAATGCCACATCGGGATCACTAGCACTAAAAGCATCAGAGAAACTGAGTTTACTCAAATGTTTGATAAAGCCTTTTCTATTTTCAATAGAAAAGTCGCGTTTATACACATACCAATATTTTAGGGAGCAACTTTTTTTGATCGGACACTTGAGCAACTGTGCTGAATGATCGGATAAAGCAAGTTCGGTTATCTTGCCTGTAGATCCTCTTATATTATGAGCCATATTATCGATACAGGATTTACCAGCTACACGAGTAGGTTGCTTAAATTGAATTTTCAGATTATGACTCAAAATAAGATTCGAAAACTCATCAGTATACCTTGTCTGCTTTAAAATATCAATATTAAAATCTCCACATAATATTATTTTTTTGTTTTTTAATAGAAATTTTGATAACATTTCATCTAGTTGTTTGAAAAAGGTATTAAATGCGAGCTGAGTATTNTTGTGTGGTTGAATTTTCAGATTATGACTCAAAATAAGATTCGAAAACTCATCAGTATACCTTGTCTGCTTTAAAATATCAATATTAAAATCTCCACATAATATAATTTTTTTGTTTTTTAATAGAAATTTTGATAACATTACATCTAATTGTTTGAAAAAGATAGTATATGCGAGCTGAGTATTATGTGGTGGTCGGTATATACAGATAATACATATTTGATGATCTGTTAATTCAATTGCTGAGCATTCTATAAGATTTGCGATTGATAACTTAGCAATATCATCGAGTACTCTGTAAGCATGATTTTGTTTTACCAATATGCAGGACCCCCCATGCCTATTATTTCGATTAAAACATGAGGCCAGCTTGTAATTTATTAATGACATGTATTGGGTGTCTTCAATGGTCATATTATGTTCTGTAATACATAACACATCGATTAAGTTGTCCTCATTATTTACTAACTCATGCAATGATGCAGCTAACATATCTGATTTACTAATAAGTCCATTAATGTTTTGGTGCAATACAGATACATAATAATTACGAACGAAAAAACTGAAAGTCACTATCAGATTTTTCATGACTATCTTTTTCATTTACATTAACGTGAATCTTCTTTTTCGTAAAATAGTCTAAGATAGATTTTTGTATATACTTAGGTTCATTGTAGGTTGACAATATTTTTGATTTTGCAAGTTAAAGTCCGAAGGAGAGTGAAAATGTTTATTACGTTAACTAGGACATAGTTACAATGTTAAAATGTTCGAATGCACCCGGTCGCGATGGTTCCGAAAATTGCACTAAATAATTATTATGTTAAAACTTAATCGATGCGCGGCCACTGCTGACNGGAGTATTATGTGGTGGTCGGTATATACAGATAATACATATTTGATGATCTGTTAATTCAATTGCTGAGCATTCTATAAAATTTGCGATTGATAACTTAGCAATATCATCGAGTACTCTTTTTCACCTACTTTTTTCGAAAAAAGTACCATACAATGGTATATATTTATAATCCTGATAAATGTAGCTTTCAGGACATATTTTTTTTATTAGATTATCTCCAGTGGTTTAAAAGTAAACGACGTTTATTTAAAAAAATACGTTTTGGTTTTTGTGAATTTTTCTCAATAATTATATTTTTTTGTATGAAAAGGCAAAAAGTTTGTTCTAGAAATGAATTCGCCATCCTTTAATTATCTGAAAATGACACCACATTTGCCCTAATACCCATAGTTTTGAAGATATGGACCTTAAAGTGAAGCGCGGCAGAAGGAAACTTGCCCCCCCTCCCCCTGCTACCACAGGGGGGGCTCCCGATGTCTACCGACGGAAATCCACTCAGGAGCACCCAAAGAACAACTGGTGCAAAAATGAGCCTTCTATACCAAAGTGGAGGGGTTCTTGCACTAAATTCCCTACTATAGTGAACTTGCTCGCTTAATCCTTTGTTGCTCTATTCCGCTAGGTATAATCAACTTTATGATAAAAGCAGATGTTGCGGCTCAATCCGTCTATCAAGTGTCTCAAATACTTAGTTGCATAACTTATAATTAAATAATGAATTAACTTTCTTTCTTATCGAAATCGTAATTTCTAGTACGTGTAATTGTTTGCTATTGCTTCATCGCAGGCGTTTTTAAACTTCATATTATTTTGTACTGTCAAAATCACTTACCTTCCAGTCGCCGCGCGATACGCACTATTGCAATACATTTTCAAATAATACGAAATATTCATCAAACCTGAGTTTTATTGGCTCCGAATGTCAGCGAAGACAGCAGATCAAAATTCACGAGAACCTCGATTTCCAGGTGTTCGAGTACGAAGCAGTAGTGCGGGATGCCGTGGACGTGCACTACCCGTGCGCCGAGATGCAGTGCTCGCACAAGATCTCGTGCGTGTCCTGGAACGCGTACCACAAGAACGTGCTCGCCTCCTCCGACTACGAGGGAACCGTCTCCGTGTGGGACGCGGCCACCGGCACGCGCACGCGCGCGCTACAGGAGCACGACAAGCGCTGNTCGATGCGCGGCCACTGCTGACCACGCAACCTACTTTTTAAAGTACGTGTTAGGTGCGTTGCACCGAACATCTTGCCGGGGGCAGACGAAGAGATGAGAACTTACTTCAAAATGTTAACAAGTGTATCGTGATTGTAACAAACAGTAACAATACATACGATTCGTATAAAAATTATAAAATGTTAATAGTTAAGTACAAAAATAAAAGATAAAAATGTTAAACTTATTCAAAAGAAATTTTTCTAAAAACTGGAGAGGTGGTTTTGTCCGTTACACCTCCCTTCACATTCCTAATTTTATCACTTTCGCGCACTTCATCATTGATACACTCCCGCACTTGCACTCGCGCACTATTTTCACCACACTTTTCACCAATAACACTGTAGATGTCGGCGTGCGCGGGGGTGTGGCGGGCGGCGGGCTGCGGGCCGGGCTCGCGCCCTGCGCCACTCCCGGCCGCCGGCCCCAGGCGCTGCTCCGTGGCCACCGACGCCGCCGGCTGCCTCAGACACCTCACTTTGCGACCCACGATGACCAGTAGCACCAGCGCCACTATGCCCCAAAGGACGTAAATAGCGGCGTATTGGTGCACGTCGTGGACGGAAAAATCCTCTGATATAGGCTGACTTTCCTTCATTGTCTTTATTTGTTCTTCAATGTTTAGCAGTTCCTTCTGGTCGTTGAAGGTCAGGTTATGCTCAAACTTAGGGATCGTAATGTTTATAATATTATTTATGGGGTCTATCTTTGGTACATTTATATCGGAGGCCAAGTCTATTCTATTTGACATTGTTTGATGCGTATGTATAGAAAAATTATCTGTTTTTACAATACAGTTTTCATTCATGCTCAATATATTCGCTCCTGTTAATGTTTGTGACGTAACTTGACTCATGCAGTGAGTTCGCAATTGACACCGATCGCAACAGAAATAAAAGTAGTTATTAAGCGTCGATAGACTCATCCATTTGTTCTGACACAGGTTTCTAGTTTGTTTACATTGTCGTGTCTCATCTTTCACACAGAGATCCGTATCTGATGACATTTTGTAGATCGGTTCTTTTATGTAACACATATACATTGCAGTATCTCGTGATAAACAGTGTTGTAGGTCAGTTTCAACTATAGGCAAAAATGCGTCTTTCTGTAGGTTCATTGCCACGTGATTTTCTATAGGAGTAAGAGATATCATGTTTTCGCCGACACTCTTTGGTATTGAGATAAGATTATATAGATCATAACTGTCTCGACTTATGAGTGGAATTCGTATCTCAAAAATCATGTAGTGGTCAGTTATCCTTGCTCTTATTTTTAACAGTCGGTAGATACTGTCAAGATTTCTCTGTATGTTGTCGATTGGGAGAGTTAGGTCGCTGTTTAACTGTCCCGAAATGATGTTCAATTCTTGTTGAAGTTGTTGTGGGTCTATAGTATGTATGTTCATTCTTCCATCGTACACATTTGTGATAGTATCAATCAAATATTCCTGTATGTTTCTTAGATGTGTTAACAAGTTATTGGTGGCCATCGCTACAATCGTGAATTGAGCCATATGTTCTGATGCGGAAATCGCTAATTTCATCTCGTTTGTTGCCTTTTCTAGGTTGATTAAGTGTTGGTTTATCATTTTGTGTTGTTTTTGTATAGTAATTTCAGTTCGTTTCAGAAGGTTATACTCAGCTTCAACTATGGAAGTTTGGTTTTTCCACAGTTCTGCTAGATGTTTCTCGTTTTGGTGGATCAGACCAATGTCCTTTTCGTATTGTTCTACGAATCGGTCATCTAATACGCCAAACAATGTGTTTGCTAGATACCCGACACCGTTTATCAGGCCACGCCGTTTTCTCGTATTTTGTTTCAATTGGTTTTTTAATAATATGCGATTGTAATGTTGTAGTTCCTCATAACTGTGACGTAATTGTAACATTATAATATCACAGTGAGCTAATGTTTTTACTTGGTGACAGATAGCTTCCAACTGTTCGTTGTATTTCATGTATGCCTCTGTGCCCTCCCAGTAGGGTTCTAAGTCATAGTATGCAACTAATTTCCATTCATCTCTAATGATTTCGAGTTTTCCAATTTTGTCAAAATATAATCCTTGGGTTCTGTTTAATGGAGTAACATTCACACAATTGCCCGTTGCCAAAATAGTCATAAAATACATGAACATCATAATTGTTGACAAAATGCTTTGTTTTTTAGGTGTTTTCCTCTGCTCTCTTTCTTTCTGTTCTTTCTCTTTCTGTTTCTGTTCTTTTTCAGCTGTTTCTAGGGGTAAGATAGACAACTTCACTACGGGTCTTTTAATCGTGCCATTTTTCGTCTTCAACGTCACCACTCTTACATAACCGTCAGGTCCAGGATGAGCCTCTACAACTCTACCCAGCGCCCATTTCCCTGGCGGTAAGTTTTCCTCGTGTATTACCACTACGTCTCCTTTTTCCAGATTGCGTTGCGGAGTTTGCCACTTCCTTCTTGCGGTTAACTGACTCAAATACTCAAATTTCCACTTCTTCCAGATGTCTTCGAATAACTTCTGTGTTAAATGCCACCTAGTCCTCGCATCTTCATCTGTTTCAATTATCGTCACTCCTGGTCTTCCATTAAGAAAGTGGGCTGGTGTGAGAAAATCAATGTCGTTTACGTCTTCAGATAGTGAGCACAGTGGGCGTGAGTTAAGGCAGGCTTCCAGCTGCGCTAAGATCGTCGAGTACTCCTCGAATGTTAGTTTTTGTTCACCCACTACACGTTTCAGGTGGTGTTTTAGACTGCGTACTGCTCTTTCCCACAGTCCTCCAGCACTCGGCCAGGCCGGGGCATTGAAATGCCATTCCATTTTCATTTCAGTAATTTCTGTCATAAAGCTGTCAGTAAAAATGTCTTCGTATTGTTGAAATTTTTCTTGTAAGGCTCTGTTCGCACCCACAAAATTTGTCCCATTATCACTATATAAGTGACGTGGAGCTCCTCTTCTAGCAGCCATCCGTCGAAGCGCAGCAAGGAACGCCGAACTTGTTAACTCCGTTACCAATTCCAAATGCACAGCCTTGGTGACCATACAAATGAAAATGGCAATGTAACCTTTTAGGGTTTTTGCTCCGCGTCCTCTGTTGGCCTTGACGTCCACGTGTCCTGTATAATCCACCCCTGTATGGTAAAAGGGGCTGGCTTGATTGACACGTGCAGCTGGTAGATCTCCCATTAACTGTTTCTGTGTTCTTCCTTCATTTCTACGACAGGTTACACATTTTCTGATCTGCTTCTTCACTTCATTGTTGCCACCTGTTATCCAGTATTCTTGTCTTAGTTTCGCCATAGTTACACGCGCACCTCCGTGAAAAGTTTGCTTATGAGCTTGGTCGATTAGCAAAGTGGCTAATCGGGTATCCTTCGGGATAATTTTAGGATGTTTCATTTCGTCCGAAATGTTAGCTTTTTCCAAGCGACCTCCAACTCGCAAGACGTTTTCGTGATCAATAAAAGGTTTTAAATTTAAAAGTTTGCTTTTTGTATCTACTGTGCCGTGTTTACGTAAATGTTTTATTTCCGCTCCCAATTCATTCATTTGTTCGTGTTTTATTATAAGCAACTTAGCTTTCTGCAACTCTTGTAATGTGAGATATGATGTAGTAGGTGTGTGACGTCGCGGGGTCAGTGCACGCAAAATCCAGGTCACGATTCGCTGCACTTTAGTAAATGAGTTATGTTTTTGTAATAAATTATCAATTAAGTTTTCTGTGTTTATTTGAATAGTATTGCATGCTGATTGTTTCTTCTCTTCTTCTGTAGTGTTATAAGTTTGTTTTTCAGGTTGAGGTATGAACGTAGGTAGCCATGTCGGTCCCTGCCACCACAACGACTGTTCTATCAACTGCGATGCGGTCAGTCCTCGGCTCGCAGCATCCGCAGGGTTTTCAGATGATTTGACATATCGCCACTGCTCTTCAGGCATCACTTCTTGTATCTGTTTCACCCGGTTGGCAACAAAGGGTTTCCAACGATTTGGTTGTCCTTGTAGCCAACCAAGCACTATTTTCGAGTCTGTCCAGCCAAATATTTCTGTTTTGTGTTGATTTAGTGATTGTTTAATTTTAGTGATAAGTTTTGTTAATAGGTATGCGCCACTTAATTCAAGTCGTGGTAATGTTAACAATTTTTTATGAGGTACAAGTTTTGATTTTCCCGCGATGAGTACCACAGTAGGTTTGTTTTTCATTTTAGCGTATACTACACATGCGTAGGCTTCCATGGACGCATCACAGAAGCCGTGCAGCTCAATGACGTCACACTCGTTAGATGCTATCCACCTCGGTATTTGACATTCATTTATTCGGTCAATGTCTGACTGTACTTTCGACCACATCTCATAAATCTCATCTGACACCTGTTCATCCCAGTGGGTGTTTTCTTTCCAAACCCTTTGAAATATTATTTTCAGTTTAGTGTTCACCGGAGCTAACCAACCCAAGGGATCAAACAGTTTTGAAATTTCTGATAAAAGATTGCGTTTGGTGGGTTTGGATGTTTGTTGTGTAATGTTACATTTAAATGAAAACGTGTCATTTTTTGGGTTCCAGCATAAGCCCAATGTTTTGGATACATTATCTGTTTTAAAATTAAAAATTGTTTCATCGTCTTGGTGTATGTTCGTAACATTTTCTAGTACTTTTTCTTTATTTGCCGACCACTTCCGTAAATGAAAACCTCCTGATTGTAACAGCTTGTCTAATTCCACAATAAGTTTTTGTGCTTGTTCGATAGAGTGCGCTCCATGAACCAGATCGTCCATATAGAACGACTCCTCTACTACCTTCGCTGCATTTGGATAGTTGGCTCGCTCGTCTGCGGCCAGCTTCCGAAGCGTCATCATGGCCAAGAAAGGTGCTGCTTTCGTGCCATATGTTACTGTTGTTAATTGAAAAGATTGCAACGGTTGTTCAGGGCTCTCTCTCCAGATGATCTTTTGGAGTTGTTGATCTGTCTCGTTCACCAATATTTGTCGGTACATTTTTTCAATGTCCGCAGTAAAGGCGTATTCATACTGTCTCCACTTTAATAACAATGACTGCAGGTCCTGTTGTAAGTTGGGCCCAGTGTACATCAAGTCATTAAGTGAACGACCTGTAGATGTTTTAGCGGAGGCATTAAATACCACCCTGTATTTTGTAGTTGTAGATTCGACGCGTTCTATTCCGTGGTGAGGCAGATAACACTCTAGAGATGAGCTGTTGTACTTCGCCGGTGTCATATGTTCTAATTCGCTATACTCTGTCATAAATGTTTTATAGGCCTGAGCTAATTTCTCTTGTCTTTCAAACTTCCTTTCTGTGTTTCTAAATTGAGCTATGGCTTTTGTCCTTGATTCTCCGAGTTCTGTTTCAAAATTTGGTTTCATTGGTAAACTGACTACATATCTTCCGTCTATCTGTCTTTTCGTGTTTTCTTGGTAATGTTTAATACATGTTATATCTTCCTGAGATAAATCTCCTTCTTCTGCAATATCCTCCACCTCCCAGAACTGTTTAATATCCTCTAAACTGTTAATTACGACATTACAATGATATGTTTTTGCATTGCCGCACAATAGCCAGCCAAGTTGTGTTTGTTGTGCCATAGGCTGAGATGCCTCCTCACTTTTTATCATCCCGCCTAAGAGAATGTTAGAGTAGATATCTGCTCCAAGTAGTATATCTACTGGCCGACTGACGTAGAACTCTGGATCCGCTAAATTTATGTTCTGTATTATAGGCCAAGATGGTTTTGTGAAAGTTTTGTTAGGTAGGTTTTTTATTAAGCTGTTCATAATTATTACTTCAGCTGTAAAGTTGTAATTGTTATACATGGAGGTGCAAGTAATGTTAAGCTTCCCCTTACAATTGTTTTCTCTTTGACCTACTCCGTATATAACTCCTTGACATCTCTCTCTCTTCAAGTTAAGCATCTGCGCGGCCTGTTCCGTTATAAGCGAGATTTGAGAGCCCTGATCTATAAGAGCTCTCAAAGTATGAGATGAGTCATCTGCTCCTTTTACCTTTATAAGTGCTGTTGCTAACAAAATCTCCGAATAATCATCTGGTGAAACATGTGAAGCATTCACCACGTGTTTTGATTCCCGCTTGAAGTGACTTGCATTACCCGATGACGTAGAGGTTGACGTCCCCGGTGTCGCGTTCGCGTTAACACAAGCCTCGTGAATGAGTGTGTTATGCTGACCGCCGCACTTATTGCACGCTTTTGTTGAATTGCAGACATTTCCATTATGACTAAACAGGCAATTAACGCAAAGCGCTAATCTGTTTATCGTGTAATATCGTTTTTCTACAGGCATTTGCAAAAAGAATCTGCAATTATAAATTCCATGTGGGTTTTTACATAGAGGACATTTAAAACCGGATACATGAAATGATTTCGCAACTGGTGGACTTCCGTGGTTTCGGCTCGCTCCACCGTGGTTGTTGTTCTGATTGTAATTATAATTATTATTTCGATTGTTAAAGTTTTGAAATGGTTTTTTAGTTACTTGTACCGGTTGATGAGGGTGTGTTTTATGAGGCGAAGGGTCTTGTTTACGCCTGGATGACTCTAGAGTGGTAAATTTGCTTTCTATAAAGTCTAAAAACTCCTGTAAGACTGGTAGTTCTCGTGAATTTTTTAAAGACTCAATGTAGTCTTTGTGTGTCTCAGTGTCTAGTTTTTGAGACAAAATGTGTACTAATATGGGGTCCCACGTACTAATGTCTATCCCTAGATTTCTTATGGCATGTAAACACTCAGTGGTGGTGTCATACATTTTCTTTATCTGTCCCATCGATTGTTGTTGCATGTTAGGAAGTCCAAATAAAATATTAATATGAGAAGTAAAAATGAGTTTAGTGTTATTGTAACGGTTGTTTAATATCTCCCAGCAAACTAAGTAGTTATCAGAGCTTATTTGTAGATGTTGGATTAGTCTCTCCGCTTCCCCTTTCAGCTTACTCTTTAAAAACTGCATCTTCTGGGCATTAGATAAAGTCGTGTTTTTGTGTATGGCTTCATTAAACAGATCTTTAAAAGATACCCAGGTGTTGTAATTTCCATAAAACGTTGGAATGTCCAGCATCGGAGTGGACTTTTCCCTATGAGCGACTGACCATATTTTCTTGTTTATTTCTTTTTTCAGACTGTTAAATGTTTTTTCATGTTTATCAAACATAGATTGATACGTCAAATCGGAATGTGTAGCCTCACTCTCAATCTCCCAATGTAAATAATCTATAACTGACCAACGAGATTCCAAAGTTTTTAAGGCATCGTCTAGCTCCCACTTATCTGTTAATATCTCAATGTTTATGTTACATACTGTGCGTAAAAACGCCTTAATATTGACTCCTTGTTTGCGATACATTTCGTCTAGTCTACTGTTCAGGCCTCTATCTTGTTGTTTCTGCTGTCCCTGACCAAATTGTTCATCATCTCCGGGTGGCGTGTTCTCGCCGCTACTCTCCCCTTGCTGTTGCTGTTGTCGAGGGTTAGCGACGGAACACCCCGCTACTGTTTCAGGTAAACCCGCTAATGTTGAAGTAAGTTGTTGATAACCGGTGTTTATCAAACTAGTCACCTCCTCATATACTTCTTTTGTTCGTTCGTAGCATCTGTTAAAAAAGTATTTGTGAGACCTACTCTCCTCCTGTCCGAAACGTTCATGTATAATCAGAAACTCCGTCCACAAATCATTTAGCTGATCGGAACGGCTTTTAAAGTATTCAGGTTTAGACTTTCTATCTGCTCCATCTTTCTTAAAATTCTCCCGTAATCGTAACATACGCTCCCTTATCTCCTGTTGTTTTTCGTATTTATCTGCCATGTTGTTAGTTACGCCTTACGATGTTAGTCAAAAAGGAAAGATCTTACTTGTTAGACTTCGCTATAGTTGGTGTTCTAGGGTCAGAGCTGCCGCCTCAGCCTCCCCCAATGTTAATGTTGATGTTGTCCTCTCCTCTAATCACTGCAATCCTCACACTCCAAAGTACACTGCTCACACGCTCCAAAATGTTCACCAGTTCGATAACCTCACCCGTCTCTCCTAAATGTTACTAGAAACGACGCGCGAGGTCCAACGCTCGAAGGACCATTTGTTGAGGTACGGGATTGCGAATGAATGTTAAAGTCCGAAGGAGAGTGAAAATGTTTATTACGTTAACTAGGACATAGTTACAATGTTAAAATGTTCGAATGCACCCGGTCGCGATGGTTCCGAAAATTGCACTAAATAATTATTATGTTAAAACTTAATCGATGCGCGGCCACTGCTGACCACGCAACCTACTTTTTAAAGTACGTGTTAGGTGCGTTGCACCGAACAGCTTGAGTTTTGTTTTTTTATAATCTGACATGAATTAACAAAACGTTTCAATTTGTCTAAGTTTAAAAATTCATTCTCATAATCTGTACAATCTATAAAATAATTTATACTATTTGATGTCATTTTGTGTTGAGATTTTGATTGCATAAAGTAACAATTTGCATACAAGTTGGACAATAGCCGTAATTCATTATTTAACATAAATTCATTCAAATACTTATTATGTAAAACACTTAAAATAATAATTCTATTTGATTTAAATTTCTTAAGAACTAAACTTATTTCTAATATCACCTTTTTAGGATTAGTGTCATTTTCACCTACACCTAATATTAATATGTCCGAGTCTTTCAACTGAAGTCCGCAAGATGAATTTATTATTTCTTCAGTTGTTGCGTTTGGTTTGGTAACGGCCGAGACGTTGTAACGAAGATATTGGGAGGATGCTCGTTGCTTCAGCAGCGTCGAAGCCAATCCTACACACTGCTGCGATCCAAACAACAAAATATTGTTCGAATGTTTACGGCCGTCGTTCTTTCTGTCCGTTCCTGAACTTGAGTTTTCAGTTTTTTCTAGCAAAGGATGATTTGTTTGAGTGTCAGTCGTTCCTAGAGCATTAATATGTATAACTCTTAAGGCTCAGTATCTCATCTTCTGCGAGTTTGAGTTCTTTCTCTAAATCATTGATTCGCTGTTGAAGTGAATAGAGCGAACTGTTTGAATAAGAAGAGAAGATTTTTGTCTGGTGCGTCGGAGGCCTTTTACTTTTTCTAGAGCTGTGGCTTATCAAGCTTTCGTTTACTGGAGATCGGCACAAGGTTTTTAGCATGTCATTTTCTTTTATCAGTTTATCAACTTGCTGACGGAGCTTGTTATTTTCCAGTGAAGTATTGTCAAACTCATTTTGAAGGATGGCATATTCTGAGCGCAGACGAGTGATAGATTCTTTCATTTCTTGAATTGGAATTGAATTTGAATCGGTCGCTGTGTAGTCCATGCTTTTCGATAGTTGCTGACTCAGCGTCAGCGAATCCAGCGGTTCTTCAGAGTCGCGGAAAGCGGTCAGTACCTGTGAGTCGTCATTCACATTAGAGATTGAGGAGTCGTTTAGTTGAGAAGTTAAGCTGGTGTGTGCTGCCTGTGATGGTTGCTGTTCTATCAATCTTTGTGTTGTGTTCGAGAAAGTATCTTGAGGATTTTCCATTTGACTGGACGTCTGTGTGTTGATATTAATTGTTGGGACCGTCTCTTTTCTGCGATGCGTTACATATGATGATGCTGAGTTAGGTGTAGATGTGCTTTTCGCTGTTCTGTCACATGATCTACACTTCCAATTTTTCCTCATATCAGCTGTTTTCAGGCGGTGTAGTTTTTCCGAATATCCTATGCAATCGAATTCGAAGTTATTTCGGCATATTGAGCAGAGTACAGTGGCTTTTGAGTCAACCTTTTGCTTGCATTTACGACATGTGACTAGTTGTGCCCTCTTACGGTCGTTGTTTGTGCCTTTGTGGTTAGGTTTCGACATTCTGTTGATCTTATTATTTGTTTTTGGATTTGTTTCCGTAGTTAATAGACAGATGGAGCTTCAAAGTACAGTTTCTTGTATGGCGTGTAGTGATATCTAGCGGTGAGTAGCAAGGCTTCACTTTAAATGCCCTTTTAGCTTTTAGTCAATAACCAACAACTCGTTCGCATCAAACTCAGTAGATGGCGCCTATTCCATTTTTTGTTTATATGGAAAGTAGTGACATCTCGTGTCGAGTAGTAGTCGGGTTCAATCTTACTATACCGTTGTCAGATAGGTTCAGCTTGACACTAGAAAATGGCGCTATTTTAAAGTGCTCCAGATATTGGCTCTTCTGTCTAGCGCGATAACGATCAAATTCCTGATACACTGCTATAATTTCAAATAACATTAACCGTCCGATTTCTGTTTTTCTTGATTTTATGATTTTGTAGTAACAGTATATTCACTTTAGCACACTACGTTGTTGATTTATTGTCCTTTAATTACACTGTTTTGTTTTTATTGTCACTTTCACTATCACTTAGTCACAAAATTTTTTGAGTCAATTTCTCCAAGCAGCTCAAAAGTTTTCAGGAGATAACACTTCTACGAGTTGTTGTTGTAAAACTGCACTTAACAATTACAAATTCACGTCTTTACATTGAGTTTTTCCATGATTAATTAATTGATCAACACGGAGCCAGTGTTTACTTGATGGCAGCGCCATCATAATTATCTTATCTAGATAAGACGATACTTTGTTTATTAATGTAAAGGCAGCTAAAGATGTCGATTTACCTTTCTGGAAGCCATATTGTTCCGGTTTTATTAATTTATATTTGTTCAAAAAATTTGTTATACGGACGTGCATAGAATATTCCNGCCTTTGTGGTTAGGTTTCGACATTCTGTTGATCTTATTATTTGTTTTTGGATTTGTTTCCGTAGTTAATAGACAGATGGAGCTTCAAAGTACAGTTTCTTGTATGGCGTGTAGTGACATCTAGCGTCGAGTAGCAAGGCTTCACTTTAAATGCCCATTTTAGTCAATAACCAACAACTCGTTCGCATCAAACTCAGTAGATGGCGCCTATTCCATTTTTTGTTTATATGGAAAGTAGTGACATCTCGTGCCGAGTAGTAGTCGGGTTCAATCTTACTATACCGCTGTCAGATAGGTTCAGCTTGACACCAGAAGATGGCGATGATTTTTACCTGCATATTTCCTCCTCGCCTTAAAAAGTCAGCGTCAAATAGTTCGTGACACCCAAAGTAGTTAAACAGTTCGCACGCAACACCTCTTTTTTCCGATTGGAATAAGGTTGTGTTGTCAACTTATTTGGCCACTTTGGGTGTCATTATTTGACGCTGACTGTACATACACATTTCCACTCTTTTTTTATGCATAACAAGGTAGTATAGTAAAGTAGTATTTGACAACAATCGCACCTGATGTTAAGTGGCATGCAGTCTAGGATGGTACATATCTGCCCTGTGCCACACCCTGTGCCCTGTGCCACTCTCACCTCATAACTTAACACTTCCCCCTCACTACACAACTCCCCCCGGGGTACTACATGTTCGACCCCCGCAGACCGCGACCTTCCTATCATCTTATACCTGCACGTTCTCTAACTTAACAATTCTCCCACACCTTATACCTGCATATTCCCCCCTCACCTTATACCTATACCACCCCCCTCACCTTATACCTGCACACTCCCCCCTTTTCACCTTATACCTACCTGCACACTCCCCTCCTATCACCTTATACCTACACATTTCCCCCGCACCTCACTTCATAACACCCCCCCTCACCTTACAACTCTCTCTACTTATTATACCCACACCTCTCCCCCTCACCTTATAACTTCCCCCTCACTTTACAACTCCCCCAGGCTACTACATGTTCGACCCGGCGGACCGCGACCGCTACGGACGGGCGGTGGCCCCGCCCTGTTGGGGGCGGGCGAGGGCTTGCTTCTCGCAGTATCCTAATGTTAGCATGTTTTGTTTTACTCATCATCATCATCATAGGGTTATAAAATTATCACTTCACGGGATTTTACAACAAAACTTTTATAACGGTAAATAAGATCTTTCCCTCCCTACGTTTCAACTCGGTTGCACGAGTCATGGTCGCGGGCAGGCGAGTGAAGTGATAAGTGTTAAGTGATAATTTTATAGTAAAAATGAGTTTAAAATATTATAATCATTAAGAGTTGTGTTTTATTTTGCTTGTTCGTATCACATGAATCTGATTTATTTGTTAATTTTTCTTTTGTTCGTTTATCTGCTCGGGCCAGGGCTTGCTTCTTGCAGTATCCTAATGTTAGCATGTGATCCATTTTTATTTTTCATCATCATCTTAAAATTATTATGTTTTATAGTCTCCAGTTCTTCAATTTTCATTCATTAGTCATAAATTTCATCGTACATCTTTCTTATTTCTACTCTCATCATCATCCTTCTATTTTCATTTCTCATCTTTCATTATGTAGGTCATTCATCACTCATCATTCATTTTGCTCATCATTAATCGATCACCATTTGTCATGCATCATTCATCATTCACCATTCATTCATTCATATTTCACATTCAAAGTGGTTGCTTGTGAGAAGTAGAATTAATTCTTTTTTTTTTATCACACCAATGGGTCACCTTGCATATTTACAAAGTATTGAGTATTTTTATATTTCTTGTCTGGTACTTACATAAATAAAATTAATCTTGTGACACTCTAGGTACAAACCCTGGCTGAGAAGTTGGGCCCTAACATCCCACCGGTGGTGAAGACTGAAGAAGAAGATGACTCCAAGAAGGTACAGATTGTAGTGAAAATCATTCTGATACAACCCGATCGTGGTTCGATTGAAGTGGTGGTAGGGCAAGCTATATTTGGGACGTGTATAAGTGCCTTGGAAAGGGACTATGTACTGAATAAACTATTTAATTTCATTTTATTTTACCTCGCTGGAATGCGACTCTCCCTCGCACTCCAAAGCGTCGATGTGACGTCACGGTAGCGAGATACGCAGTTTACTCGACCGGGTTGTAGTTTTATTACGAAATCGCTGCACTTTCTTTTCATATTTCATCATTCATATGACATCTGTGTTCATAACTTATGTTTAGTTTTTTTTTTCGCTTTCAAAATTATTTAGTTTATTAAAAGAAAATATAAGGTAAGGTAATAATGCCGCCACCAACCAGAAAATGTGGAAAAATCATTGGGGGAGGCCTATGATCAGCTGTGGACGTCCTATCGCTGAAATGATGATGATGAATAATGCAATTACTTTTTTTTCAGGTGACGGTTATTGCAGATAAGTCCAAAGGAGAAAGATCTGATTCAAAGGTTGCGGAAAAAGAGGTGAGAAATAAAAAAATCCATCCTGGATTTTTAGTTTTTTTTGGGCCTTATTTTTTTGTTATTTTTTTACTAAGTAATTATTTTATTGTTTTTTTTTTAATTTTTTTTATTGTTATTTATTGAATTGCGATTATGTAATTCTTCTTTTTTATTTTATTATTATTGTATTCTTTCTATTTTTTCTTTCTATCCTCAGGTGCACTTTGAAGAACCAGCTGGCTTCGCCATCTACGGAATGGATGTCACCAGCTTGCGTAGACTGAACCAGCATGAGAGATAGACAGAGACAGAATCACTACACTTTTGTGTTGTCCCTTTTCATCGCTACAGAAAAAAGAAAGATGGAGATTGTATCGTGCGCTGCTTTCACTTTTGAAGAGAAATAGAAATGGAATATCACTGTCCTTTTTACTTGTAAAGAAAACAGAGAAACAGAAAAATACTTGACAGTCTTTGAAGTCTTTTAGTGGCATCACTTTCACACATTTTTTGCGACAGTTTGTCTTTTTTACTCACACTATATTACAGTAGGAGTGAGAGAGAGATAGACAAAGTTATTATGACTACAAGAAATTGCAAAACAATTGAAAAAAGCTGAGAATTTTAAAACATGCTGGTGAAACAGCGCAAGCTGGTTTGTACTAATCTGAAGCATTGAAGTTAAATTTATTTAAACAGTTAAAAAGGCACACTCACGATATTCCTTTCAACAATAATGATGAATGAGTGGAGTGATGAACCCACTAAATTGAAGTATTAAGTGTGATATACCAAAAAAAAAATTGAAAAATGTTCAAAATTGTGAGTGTGAAGCCACATTGCGTGAAGTATTGTAATAAACAAAGTTTTTTTGCAACATTTTTGTTTCATTTCTAAGTGAAAGTAATTTTTTTTTAAATTATTTAAAAAAATGTTTTTACCTATGCTAATTATTTTAAAACGATAAAAATTTATGGTATTCTAAAAAAATGTACTAGGTATGTTTATGTTGTGGTGGGTGAAAAATATTTTTTTAGTTCAAAGAAATAAAAAAGGTATTTAATGTTACAAATATTTATTTATCTTCAGCCAATTTCGATCAGGATTATCATTAAGGACATAATTTTCAAATATTAATACAATAAATTAAACTTACGTACTAACTTATAAGAAAAAAAAAATGGTCATAAAATAGCCAAAAAACCAACGAAGAGATGGGATTGTGCTATTCTAGGACCACAATACAGGTTCTAATTACTATAATAATTACAAAAAAATGCAAAAATAATACAAAAATAAAATTAAAACTTATTAAAAACTTGAACCCACATTTTTTTTACATTTAATTTTAATGTATTTACATCTTAAAATTAAAAACTCGTATAAAATAATCAAATTAACCTAAAGTAAATAAAAATAAAAAAGGGTTTTCTTTTGTCCGAAATAGAAACACTTATGCCTATCTATGCCAGTTTTGGGTATAAAAATAAAAAAGCTGTGTGCTTTTACTTACTTAACCTCTTTTTCAATTAGATACAGCAAATACTTACATTAAATAAGATTATTACTACAAATTAATAAAAAAAAATACAACAAAAATAACCTTAAGAATAACCTATCTATGTATTAATAAGAAAAAACTGGGAGAAATTAAAAAACAATTCAACAAAATACTTAAACATAATAATAAAAATAGGCATAAATAAAAAAAACACATTTAATTTTATAAAGGATGGGGTCGTACTATTCTAGGACCACAACACAGGGCCCTTACTTTTTACCATAAAAGCCTCATGGAAAAGGTAAGTAATCCTTGAGGAAGGCCCTTTTCTATTTTACCAATATTGGTTTATATGGTTATACGAAAATAACAAAATAACTTTATGCATGTTCAGCCAATTTAGATCAGAGTTACCACTTAGACGCATAATACCTACAGTTTAAAAAATAAAATGAAAATCCATACCTACAGTAAACATTCCCGACTTGCTACTTAAGAATAACCTACGAATATAATAAAACTAAGGCATAAATAAATAAAAAAAACACATTTATAAAAGATGGGATGGTGCTATTCGAGGACTACAACACAGGTTCTTTACTTTTTATAATAAAAACTCAATTTGAAAATGAAATACTTATCTAAAAATGTACATTTGAATCTCAAGATAGGTACATTAAAAAAAATAAAGATTTTTAGCCCAGAAGTTGAAATTATGTACTTACCTACTTGGATTTTTTGGTGAACAAAATACGAAATTAACTTTGTCTTCAGCCAATTTAGATCAGGGTTACCATTTAGGATCATAGTACCCAGGGCCGCGCCGCCCCTGTGTGCGATGTGTGCGGCGCACACAGGCGCCAAGACAATAGGGGCGCCGCGCCGCTACTGCCACCTATTTTTTTTTTAAATGGAGTACATATCGATAAGTAAGTAGGTACAGTATGCGCAAGCGCAACAAAACAAATATTACGCTTATTAAACAAGTCTCTCAATATTTATGTGTTTATTATGATTCACGTTTATGGTTTCATTTTACGCTTAGGGTTTTAGTTTAGTTTACACTAGCGGCCGCCCGCGACTTCGTACGCGTGGATCCCGTTTTACCCCCTTCATCTATCTTACACGGTTTAGATTTTTTCATACATATGTTTTTTCCCGCCTACTCCCGTGGGAATTTTGCAATATCCTGTTGTAACTAAGCTTTAAGTTTACTAAGGTACCTGCTTGCCAAAAAGCGGTTAAGCGGTTTTGATTTTTTATACAAAAGGATTTTCCCGCTAATTCCCGTTTCCGTGGGAATTCCTAAGTATACTATAACCTGCCCAGGAGTATGAAGAATAATTGTACCAAAGTTCGTTAAAATCCGTCGAGTAGTTTTTGTTTCTATAAGGAACATACAGACAGACAGACAAAAATTTTACTGATTGCATTTTTGGCATCAGTGTCGATCACTAATCACCCCCTGGTAGTTATTTTGAAAAAAAATTAAATTAAAACAAAAATATAAATTTAAAAAAATAGCCCACTTAGGGTAAAATGGGCGAACTTGTATTCTTAAAATGACCTTACCTATACACCCACGAAGTATGTCTAATCTTCCGCCAAACACCCTGTATTATAATTTAAGTATGATTAAAGTATTCTTGTTAGCACCAGTTGCAAGTGCATTTCAGTAGCACTAATATAAAAAAAAAGTTAGACTCTTGCTGTTTTTACATAGCATAGGTAGGTACGTAATAGTCATATTAGTATTATTATGATTAGAAACAAGTAAGCTTCTTTGTTATTAACATTTAAATATACAATTCTTTGTATTAAGCATGTAAAAATTTAGTTCGAGTTTTCTTTTTCGTAGTAATTGGCAAGCAGAACGAACGGGATTTACCTATTTAGTATCCTAATCCTAAGTGGTTTTCAGTTTTAATACACTTATGATAATATTATCTAAGTACCTACTGTAAAACTGAAGAACATTTATTTTAGTCAAAATTAACAATTAAAATATTCGTTAAAAATAATTTAAATTCGTTTTTTTATGACGATTCATTAGAAAAGAGGCGCTTTATAGGTTCCGCACACAGGCGCTGCCGGCGGTCGGCGCGGCCCTGATAGTACCTTACAGCTTAAAAAATATTAATTAAATTACTATACAATAAACATAACTTACCTACTTACTACTTAAGAATAACCTACTCGTAATAATAAAAATAAGGCATATTCTAAGTTAGATCTTACAGTACCACCTAAGTAACAGTAGTGTCATAGCAGGCACCATGCACTTATTGGATCCCATTTAAAGAGCATGGGGCCTTCTGAGTCCATCACCACAAAAAAAAATTGAGGACATTTCACAAAATTAAAAAAAAAACTAAAAATCAGAATACAAACTTATAAATCCCAAAATCTTGCCCAAAAGATTTATTATACAGTATAAAAAGTGGTGCTGCGACCGAGTTTTGCTTTATTCTACTAGAAGAACTTGCTCCTCTCGTATGTCATTTTGTATACTTAAAATTAAATCAATGTTTACATTTTCTGAAGATGATGACAGATTTTAGGATTACAACACTGGTCACTTTTTAACTGTTTCGTAGCTTTTTTACGATAAAAACCCCATGGACAAGGAAATCCTTGAGGAAGACGCTTGTCTATAAAAGTTTATCAATAATCCTAAAGACACAAACTTTAAGAAAAAAAATGCATTTTTTAACCCAGAAGTTGAAATTTTGTATATTTGGTGAACAAAATACGAAAATAACAAAATAACTTCATTATATTCAGCCAATTTAGATCAGGGTTACCATTTAGGCTCATAGTAGGTACAGCTTAAAAAATAAAATAAAAAAAATACTATACACTAAACATAACTTACCTAATTACAACTTAAAAATAATTTATGTACTTACTTCTAAAAAAACTGGAAAAGAAAAAAACTACACTATAAAAATAAAAAATAAATAAATGAATCAAAATATTTACAATTCGTCGAACAGAATATTATTTTAGTTGTGTATTCTGTTAAATATATTAAAATCTCCACATACAGCTACTTTTTTCTTTGATTTGTTACTTTTAGGATCCAACAATGGACTCGAAAAGTTTTGAGTACCTAATTGCAGTTGTTAATTTGCTTATGTAATTAGTTAAGAGACTTTTACTATACAAAAACGGCATACGGGAGGAGCAGTGCTTCATTTAATTTCCACCGTAGCCTTTAAAGGATAGAACGAAAAGAACCGGACTGGAGTAGTTATGCTCAAGACCATCTTGCACATCAGCCGAAAGTACTATTTGAGTACTATTAAGAAAGTACTATTTAGAAAAGTACTTTAAGGAAGTTTTAAAGACTCCCACGGCAGTTTTGAGGGATCCCGTAATGCAGGATCCCGTAGAAATGAATTGCCATGGGAAAGGGCCCTGAGATCGCGACCGCGATTGGCTGCGTTCTCCTACAAGAAGGGTTGGGTATTGTTGACCCTATCTATGGTCAAGAACGAAATCTGTGTATGAAAAACAGTAAAAATCGGAATGGAAACTTCTAAATCCCAAAATCTTGCCGAAAAAAAAGAGGATAAAATGAGGTTCCTTATCCTACAAGAAGGATTAGGTATTGTTGACTTGTGCAAGCAAATAATATGAAGACTGGCTTAGACAAGGTCAAGTATATCAACCTCTGGCCTGAGACGAACCTCAGACAATACCCGAGGGTGAACTATACAAGTGGGGACCACATTCAACCCCTTCAAGGATTACCTTAGGGAAATAAATAAGAAGAAGAATAGAATAGAAAGATTAAAGAATATTATGGTCTGGTCTGCGAACACGTAGAATTTTGTCCAATGACCCCAAGCTACCCATCCTTATCGCTCGCGCGTAATTGGTCCCCACTTAAGATTAAGATTAAGTTTCAGTTACAGTTCTCACATCCGAAATAAATCAGTGTCACAAGAAAGTCTTTGACCAGTATTTGTTGCCAGTGATGGTATACGGATCTGAGACGTGGTCGCTTACTATGGGCCTCATAAGAAGGCTCAAGGTCT